TTTTGTTTTTTCTTTTTCTTTTAAATTAATATTTTCTTATTTTTCTTAAGCCATTCATTTAAACTTGCTTTAAAACTATTCAAATTCTCGAAATCTACAACTTTTTCCGGAAGTTTGTTCCAAATTTGGCAAACTCTGTTTGCGAAGAAATGGATTCTGGAGCTAACCGATGCATGAAAGTCATTTATTTCGCGAGGAGTTTGACTTATAGACTGGTTTGACATTAAGATTGACAAATTCTAAATTGTTTAATATCTTATATAAATGAATAAGGTCTCCTCGTTTTCTTCTAAGATTTAAATTAATTAAATCCATTTTAACTAGTCGTTTCTCATAACTTAGCATTCGGTTTGAGTATGGTGTTTTTGTGGCCCTATGTTGAACTCTTTCAAGCATTGAGATTTCGGCCACATTCGGAGGACTCCACGCTGAAGCCACAAATTCAAGATGAGGTCGCACATAAGTAGTATACAAAATTTTCCACATATAACAATCTCTACTTTCAAAGGCATTTTTCAATAACCCCAGTATTTTTGAAGCTTTGTTAACACATACTTGCGTTTGATGCTTTCACCTCATATCCGGTTGTACAAAGACACCTAGATCTCTTTCTAAGGTTTCTAAAACACTGTTTGAGAGGTCATAAATCATTCCATTTATATTCAATGTGTATGTTTTATCAATACCTCGAAAAACTTTCTGATTGCCGAATCTCATCACCTTACATTTTTTGCAGTTTAGTTCCATACCCCAATTGTTGCACCATTTCACAATGTTGTCAAGGTCAGTTTGTATTTCCGCTTGTTTATCAATGGAATCTTCTATGGCTATTATTTTGCTATCATCAGCATACATTTTAAATGTGTTTAGCACAACTTCTGGGAGGTCATTTATGAATAGTAGAAACAAGATTGGACCCAAAACGGAACCCTGAGGCACGCCACTGGTAACTGATACCCATTCTGAAACTGTATTACTAATAGCAACTCTTTGTTTCCTATTTGCAAGAAAACTTTCAATCCAGTTATATATTTTACCAGTTATACCATACGCTTTAATCTTTGTCAATAATCTTTTGTGTTCTACTTTATCAAAAGCCTTTGCAAAGTCAAGATATATGACGCATAACGGTTTACCTTTTGCAGTTTCAAATGTAATTGTGTCAATTGTCTCAATAAGATTTGTTGTGCATGATTTGTTTGGAACAAAACCAGTTTGCTCCTCACATATAAGTCTATTTGAAACTAAATGTTGCAGAATTGTGTCCCGAATGAGCTTTTCGAACATTTTACAAATAACAGATGTTAGGGATACTGGTCTGTAGTTTTCTGGTTCAAGTTTTGATCCCCCTTTGTAAATTGGTGATATATTTGCAACAGACCAGTGGTAAGGGACACATCCAGTGTCAAAGCTTAAAATATGAACAATTGGGTCCACAAAACCTTCTGCAGCATGCTTTAAAACAAACGGACTAACTCCATCGAAACCCATCGCTTTTGCCTCATCCATACCTTCTAACATTTTGAGAATTTTTTCATAGGTAATCATATTAGATAACTTACTGGAATCGCACTGTTTTTCGCATCTTTGCAAGAATTCGGGTATTGGTTGGTCATTACCATTAACAAAGACTAATTGAAATTGCTTATTTAATATATCTGAAATGTCTGATATCTCAGTTGTAACTTGATCTTTTTTGTTCTTGATTGCTCTAATTTGCATTTTAATGTTTTGTTTTCTATTTACGTATGAGAATAAAAGTTTTGCTGCAAGCTTTGCTTTCTTTACTAAATCCATTTCGTATTCTCGAGTTGATCTTTTGATTTGCTTTTTAACATTAGCACACATTTTGTTAAAAGCCTTTCGAGATTCTTGACTTTGCCGATGCAAATTTGAATAAAACATAGAATGTTTAATCTTTATTGCTTTTTTAACTTTTGTATCCAACCAGGGTTGACTATTCTTTTTTTTATTACTCAAAATAGGAATAAACAATCGACAAGATTCATTATATGTATGCAAAAATAACTCATAACATTCACAGGCTGATTTGTTTTAAAAATGCTCAACCCAGTTGACTTGTTTCAAGTATTTATTCATTTGAAAAAAATTACTTTTTTTAAAGCAAAACTTATTTTTTTTGAGTACTGTATTGTTACTAAGACTAGTAAAATATTGCCAAGTGATGGAGTAATGGTATCTTCCCTTTTCATAGTGGCCTAACTGTGGACCACATTGAAGAAAATCAATGCAATTTGGATTGCAAACTAAAACAAGATCAAGGGTGTTAACTGCTGAAACAGAGTCATTTTGTTTGAATGTCGGAAAATTTACTATTTGGTATAGAGAACAATCATTTAAAACTTTAATAAATTCATGTTCAATTGAGTTTGCATTTGAATGAATTATTGGACCATCATCTGTCCATTCTATATTAGGAAAATTGAAATCTCCGACCACTATGAGATCAGTGTATTTTTTTCCACTTTTGAGTTTTGAAGCGGTTCTGATTGAGTCTAGAATCAATTTTGAGTAATCAGCTGTAGAGTTTGGTGGTCTATATACACAACCAACAATTAAATGAAAATTATTACAATTTATTGAGCACCAGACTTAATAGATCTTTTTGTTGTTAAGATGCACATTTACAATTTCTATATTTGTAAGTCTTTTATTTACATAAATGGCAACACCTCCTCTAATTCTATCTCTATCTGCCTGATACAGTTCATAGCCATCAATTATTTTAATCGAATCCAATTTAAACCAAGTTTCTGCAATTGCAATAACATCAATTTCATATGCCAAAGCAAGTGTGGACAGCTCAGATAATTTATTAGAGTTACAGGAGGTAGCATTTGTATAATAAAATTTAATTGGTTTATAGTTAGTACTAGTAACTAAATAGGAAGTTTTACATTACTCAAGTTTTGGTAAGATTTATAAGATTGGCTGATATGAGCCCCTCCGGGCCTGCTTGGCAACGCTCTCTTTGACAAATGGGTGAACTTTGGGGTTGCCAATGTCTTTTGTTGTAGTGATGTCGATGCACAGTAATTTTCCGCTTCTAATGACAAATCGAAAGGGCTGGTCTAGGTTATTATTACGTTGCAAGTCCTCGTTCGCCTGCTTTCTCTCTTTATTTAATTGTGCAAATTCAGCCTGCTCATCAGGAGTGCGGTCAGGCCGTATATATACTTTTTTGTAGGCCTCAATAGTTGACATATATAATATAATAGATAATATATATATATATATATATATATATATATATATATATATATATATATATATATATATATATATATATATATATATGTATATATATATATATATATATATATATATATATATATATATATATATATATATATATATATATATATATATATATATATATATATATATATATATATATATATATATATATATATATATATATATATATATTAGGGTGGGTCATAAAATTTTTTTTTCTTGTTACAGGCTCTAAACATTGCTAATAGTTATTAATATTGATACTATCAAATATGAGATATTGTGATAGATTTAAAGGGCGCAACTTTATTGGGAAAATAACTGGTACCCTAATATTTTGGAGAAAAAAAGTTTTTCAAAAGTAAGTCAACTTGGTACTCAAAAGAAGCGAAATTTTATAAAAAATTCGAAAATAATAATTGTTTAAAAAAAATCATATTGTTAAAAAAAATTGTTAATAAAAAACAAGTAAAAATGCACCTTTTTCACTTTTAGTTAAAAAACTATAGTAATTATGCAATAAAATCTAAAATAATGAGTACCTACATCACATAATTTTGAAAAACTTTTTTTTTGAATAATAATAGGGCCTGCTAATTTTTGTAATTATAGTTGCGAGTGGAAGACATTGTTCAATCCTTAAAAGTGAATACTTTCCTAAATTAGTACATAAAAAAACAACTTTCTAGACCATAGCCAGGTTAGCAACTCTAAAAAAAAACTTTATGACCCACCCTTATATATATATATATATACATATATATATATATATATATATATATATATATATATATATATATATATATATATATATATATATATATATATATATATATATATATATATATATATATATATATATATATATATATATATATATATATATATATATATATATATATATATATATATATATGTATATGTATATGTATATGTATATGTATATGTATATATATATATATATAAATATATATATATATATATATATATTAGGGTGGGTCATAGAATTTTTTTTTAGAGTTGCTATCATGGCTATGGTCTAGAAAGTTGTTTTTTAATGTACTAATTTAGGTACTAATTTGTACTAAAAAGTCTTCCTCAAACTATTGAACTAAGATTGTCAAGCAATTCTTCTAACAAAAATATTTTTAAACAATCCATTCCTCTTCATCAAGATGCATTATCTAAATCAGGTTTATCTGCAAATTCGCTTACTATTCAAATAAAAAGCCAATCCAATTCAAAAATCACAAGCAAAACATAATCTGGTACAACCCACCTTTAAGTACCAATGTTGCAACAAAAATAGGCAGTTGTTTTTTGAACTTGGTAGACCTACATTTTCTGGTTGGTCATAAACTTCGTAAGATATTTTATCTAAATACTATTAAAATAAGCTACTCATGTATGCCAAATATCAAGTCCATCATTAATTTGCACAACCACAGGATATTATATAGCCAAGATAAAGATGAGGGAAAAACATGCAACTGTATCAACAAATCCATCTGTCCCATGAACAATCAGTGCTTGACAAAAAACATCGTTTATCAAGCCACTGTGTCGTCAAATAAACCTGACTACAAAGAAAAAGTCCATTTTGGCTTATTGAAACTCCATTCAAATCTTGGTATGCGAACCACCTAAAATCTTTTAACATTAACAAATATAAAAATGATACCCAGTTGTCTAAAGAAATTTGGGACATAAAAGACAAAATGTTTAAACCCTTAATTAAGTGGAAAATTGTAAAACATTGCAATACTTATAACGCCTAACTAATTATATAAACGAAATACTTAAAACGCCTAACTTATTAAATAAACGAAATGAGTTGATTTCAAAATGCAGACACAAAAATAAATTCCTTTTATCTTTTTTTGACACCAGAGATTAGCTGATATTTTGTTTTTTCTTTGGTTGCCATCAAGAGTGTCTTAGTGACGTTAAGATCCCACTACACAGTATTTTGTAATTTTTAGCGAGTTTTTTGTTTTTGATTTTGTATTTAATGGCTGCTGATTGCTGTATAGGCATGAAACTTAAAGTACCAAAGAAAAAGTTGTTTTTTCTTCGTTAATATGTGTATATATATATATATGTATGTATATATATATATATATATATATATATATATATATATATATATATATATATATATATTATATATATATATATATATATATATATATATATATATATATATATATATATATATATATATATATATATATATATATATATATATATATATATATATATGAAATGAGTTGATTTCAAAATGCAGACACAAAAATAAATTCCTTTTATCTTTTTTTGACACCAGAGATTAGCTGATATTTTGTTTTTTCTTTGGTTGCCATCAAGAGTGTCTTAGCGACGTTAAGATCCCACTACACAGTATTTTGTAATTTTTAGCGAGTTTTTTGTTTTTGATTTTGTATTCAATGGCTGCTGATTGCTGTATAGGCATGAAACTTAAAGTACCAAAGAAAAAGTTGTTTTTTCTTCGTTAATATGTGTATATATATATATATATATGTATATATATATATATATATATATATATATATATATATATATATATATACATATATATATATATATATATATATATATATATATATATATATATATATATATATATATATATATATATATATATATATATATATATATATATATATATATATATATATATATATATATATATATACATATATATCATAGATCATCCTTGCCATATTTAAAAAATCCGAAAAATTGTTTGGGTAAAATATCCAGAATATATTTTCCTTTATTTCCTCCCAATTTTGATTTTAGTTGAATTGTTTCTATTTTTTGTTTTTAATCTTTTCTTTATTTTTTTTATTAGTGATGAGTGAAAAAGCTTTAAAAACAAATATATTACAAAAATTTATACATAAACTCGTATGTATAAAAAATGTTTTGGATATTCGGAAAAACTAAAATTTGAAAAAATATCAGGAATTCGGGAAATATCTGGAAAAGGATGTAGCTATATATATAGTTATATATACAGCTATACTAATGCAATATATAGTCAGAATCACACCAAAAGAACTACTAACTATATATGTATATATATATATATATATATACTGTACATATATATTACAATTTTTTATTTCTATATATACTAGTATTACAATTTTTTTAATTTTCATTTAACAACTGATTTAAAATGCCTATAAGAATGCTTATTTATTAAAAAAAAATTTAAATATTAAAAAAGAAAGGTATTCTATAAAAATTCTAAAATATAAATTATGTGGTCTAATAAAGCATTTTTAGTAATGTAAAATGGGAATTTGGCACCACCTGAGTTTTTAATGACTAGTGAAGATTGACTGAAAGCTTAGGTTTGGACAATAAATATAAAAATATATGTTTTTTTCATTACTTTTTATTTTTTATTTCATTTTTTGAGAAACTGTTTGAATTATACAAAATATATTACGACACCTAAATTGACTGACACACACACACACACAAACACACAAAATGTGTATATATAAGTAAACATATACATATATAAAGCGTATATAATAGAAATACCTTTGATATCCACATTCAGTTTTTACAACACACATATCATATTTCTTTATCGAAACACATTGTTGATGAAAACTCTTGTTAGCATAATAAAGCTGGATGTCTATAGCTAACTTCACATATTGCATTGAAGGATATGAGGTGTTTTCTTTTTTAAATGGTAAATTATGTTCTATAATGCGACCCCAGTAGCTTGATGCATCAATTACAGAAAGAATAACAACCTTGTATAAAATTGTATTTTATTTATAAATATATATTGATTTAAATATTCAATATTCATATATAAATTATATGAAAAAATATTTAAAAAGAAAATAATATATAAACACCTTCACATAACCAGCTGACGGACATAATCCAATAAAATCTTGTTGCGGAAAAGCAGTATGCCTCTGAATACAGTCACTGATGTCACTAAATAAATTTTTAAATTAGAAATAAAATGTCTACTTGTAAAATATTATTATACAATATAAAAATTCTAGATTAGCTGAAATTAGATTGTTGCTCCATGCGGGGCTACAATCAGATAAAATGCAATAGCAATGTGGTGGTAGAGCGCTTGCTTTATAAGCAAATTCCAAGTCAAAAAAAATAATATTTTTTTGCAGTATTTATTTCCATTTGATTCAATTATGAATAAAAATCATCTGAATGTCATTCTTGTTAACTAACAGCATTCATCATCGGGATGTTATACTTAAAAGGATGATGAAAAGGATTATGAAGGATTATGAAGGATGACCAATGAATAGCAATCACTAAGGATTCACGTGTTTTTGATTCATGTTATTGAAGTAATTTAAACAATGTATAAAAAAATGTAAATAAACAGTGATAAATGACTTAATAAAATTATTATTTGAACACTATGAATTAAAAGCAAATAAAATGAGAAAAATGTGAATCAAAATAAGAGCATAATTTTTAGTTGTAAATGCTGTAAGTGTTTTAGTACATGTAAATGCTGTAAGTGTTTTAGTACATGTAAATGCTGTAAGTGTTTTAGTACATGTAAATGCTGTAAGTGTTTTAGTACATGTAAATGCTGTAAGTGTTTTAGTACATGTAAATGCTGTAAGTGTTTTAGTACATGTAAATGCTGTAAGTGTTTTAGTACATGTAAATGCTGTAAGTGTTTTAGTACATGTAAATGCTGTAAGTGTTTTAGTACATGTAAATGCTGTAAGTGTTTTAGTACATGTAAATGCTGTAAGTGTTTTAGTACATGTAAATGCTGTAAGTGTTTTAGTACATGTAAATGCTGTAAGTGTTTTAGTACATGTAAATGCTGTAAGTGTTTTAGTACATGTAAATGCTGTAAGTGTTTTAGTACATGTAAATGCTGTAAGTGTTTTAGTACATGTAAATGCTGTAAGTGTTTTAGTACATGTAAATGCTGTAAGTGTTTTAGTACATGTAAATGCTGTAAGTGTTTTAGTACATGTAAATGCTGTAAGTATTTTAGTACATGTAAATGCTGTAAGTGTTTTGGTACATGTAAATGCTGTAAGTGTTTTAGTACATGTAAATGCTGTAAGTATTTTAGTACATGTAAATGCTGTAAGTGTTTTAGTACATGTAAATGCTGTAAGTGTTTTAGTACATGTAAATGCTGTAAGTGTTTTAGTACATGTAAATGCTGTAAGTGTTTTAGTACATGTAAATGCTGTAAGTGTTTTAGTACATGTAAATGCTGTAAGTGTTTTAGTACATGTAAATGCTGTAAGTGTTTTAGTACATGTAAATGCTGTAAGTGTTTTAGTACATGTAAATGCTGTAAGTGTTTTAGTACATGTAAATGCTGTAAGTGTTTTAGTACATGTAAATGCTGTAAGTGTTTTAGTACATGTAAATGCTGTAAGTATTTTAGTACATGTAAATGCTGTAAGTGTTTTGGTACATGTAAATGCTGTAAGTGTTTTAGTACATGTAAATGCTGTAAGTGTTTTAGTACATGTAAATGCTGTAAGTGTTTTAGTACATGTAAATGCTGTAAGTGTTTTAGTACATGTAAATGCTGTAAGTGTTTTAGTACATGTAAATGCTGTAAGTGTTTTAGTACATGTAAATGCTGTAAGTGTTTTAGTACATGTAAATGCTGTAAGTGTTTTAGTACATGTAAATGCTGTAAGTATTTTAGTACATGTAAATGCTGTAAGTGTTTTAGTACATGTAAATGCTGTAAGTGTTTTAGTACATGTAAATGCTGTAAGTGTTTTAGTACATGTAAATGCTGTAAGTGTTTTAGTACATGTAAATGCTGTAAGTGTTTTAGTACATGTAAATGCTGTAAGTGTTTTAGTACATGTAAATGCTGTAAGTGTTTTAGTACATGTAAATGCTGTAAGTGTTTTAGTACATGTAAATGCTGTAAGTGTTTTAGTACATGTAAATGCTGTAAGTATTTTAGTACATGTAAATGCTGTAAGTGTTTTAGTACATGTAAATGCTGTAAGTGTTTTAGTACATGTAAATGCTGTAAGTGTTTTAGTACATGTAAATGCTGTAAGTATTTTAGTACATGTAAATGCTGTAAGTGTTTTAGTACATGTAAATGCTGTAAGTGTTTTGGTACATGTAAATGCTGTAAGTGTTTTAGTACATGTAAATGCTGTAAGTGTTTTAGTACATGTAAATGCTGTAAGTGTTTTAGTACATGTAAATGCTGTAAGTATTTTAGTACATGTAAATGCTGTAAGTGTTTTAGTACATGTAAATGCTGTAAGTGTTTTAGTACATGTAAATGCTGTAAGTGTTTTAGTACATGTAAATGCTGTAAGTGTTTTAGTACATGTAAATGCTGTAAGTGTTTTAGTACATGTAAATGCTGTAAGTGTTTTAGTACATGTAAATGCTGTAAGTGTTTTAGTACATGTAAATGCTGTAAGTGTTTTAGTACATGTAAATGCTGTAAGTGTTTTAGTACATGTAAATGCTGTAAGTGTTTTAGTACATGTAAATGCTGTAAGTATTTTAGTACATGTAAATGCTGTAAGTGTTTTAGTACATGTAAATGCTGTAAGTGTTTTAGTACATGTAAATGCTGTAAGTGTTTTAGTACATGTAAATGCTGTAAGTATTTTAGTACATGTAAATGCTGTAAGTGTTTTAGTACATGTAAATGCTGTAAGTGTTTTGGTACATGTAAATGCTGTAAGTGTTTTAGTACATGTAAATGCTGTAAGTGTTTTAGTACATGTAAATGCTGTAAGTGTTTTAGTACATGTAAATGCTGTAAGTGTTTTAGTATATGTAAATGCTGTAAGTGTTTTAGTACATGTAAATGCTGTAAGTATTTTAGTACATGTAAATGCTGTAAGTGTTTTAGTACATGTAAATGCTGTAAGTGTTTTAGTACATGTAAATGCTGTAAGTATTTTAGTACATGTAAATGCTGTAAGTGTTTTAGTACATGTAAATGCTGTAAGTGTTTTAGTACATGTAAATGCTGTAAGTGTTTTAGTACATGTAAATGCTGTAAGAATGTAAACCAGATTATGAACTTTAATGAACATTTTATCTTCATGGCATATAAATATTTGCAACATGTATAGGAAACATACATACTTGCAATAACCAAGCATCTTTATTTGGTAGCAAAACTCATTGAATTCTTTTTGAGATTCCTTTATCTAGTAAAGTTTGTAATATACATAAATACATTTACATAATACATATACATAAATAAATACATATACATAAATACATATACATAAATATATTTACTATAATTATATACATATATTTTACAATTGTTATTATATTACTTGTGTCTATAAAATATATTTTTTGTTTAAAAATTATAGTTTATTTGCAACAAAATCTAAACTAAAATGATTTGCATAAAAAATGATTTTTTTTCACAAAATTGTAAATTTTTTTTGCAAAATTGTGTAATTTTTATACAACTTGGCTTCTTTTGAGACCAGGGTTGACATACTTTCAAAGATATTTTTTTATAGTATTAGAGACCTAGCCTATGTGGGTCTCTAATACTATAAAAAAATGTTCAAGGGTCTTGACCAACCCTTAAATATAACTTTTGTAATATAGTTTTATAATGAAATTGTTGTGATTTATATATATCAGGGTGTTAGCCAATGGCACCATGTATACTGTGGAATTCTTAAAGGGTTTAAACTCACAAAATTCTATGACTTTTTTTCCCTTTAAAGTAATAGGACAATATTAATAAAAACTCCTAATATTTTGTAGAACCATAACAATAAATATTCCCAATATCCCAATATCGCAAAAACACAGAAAAAATATATTCCTTGCCAACACCCTGTTTATTATATACAATTTTGCAGTATCTGAATTATGAGGGATTGTTTGTGGCTAACCGTTTATTACTTTTGTTCACATTCCTATTTATTGATTTATCAGAAGGAAGCTAACATCTTCTGCTAATCAAATATATATATTTCTGGAATGTTAGTGGGTGACACTATAGATTTATAAATAACATTTGAGATTCTAAATTTTCCTTTCATTGGGCATAAATATATTTTTTATACAATTACATGGTGGGTGTTTGTCTGAATTTTTAGATAGAGTTTTTTTATGGTGGCTTTTTATTATTTTGTCACTATTTACAAATTTATTTTTTGCACGAAAAAAGTTACACCCCGAAGTTTTCTTAATAATTAATATATATATATATATATATATATATATATATATATATATATATATATATATATATATATATATATATATATATATATATATATATATATATATATATATGTGTGTATATATATATATATATGTGTGTATATATATATATATGTATATATATATATATAAACAAGGAAAGATTCACGAGGAATGACACCATTTTAAAGTGTTCAATGACCTTACATATCTACTTGACATGCTTCAAAGCAATATCTGCACAAAACACTGCATAAAATCATCAGATTCAACAGACAGTTATTAGAAATTAATATTTCCTTTTCAATAAAAATATATAATATGCCATTATACATATATACACACACACATACATATATACACACATACATACATACATAAATACATACATACATACATACATACATACATACATACATACATACATACATACATACATACATACATTACATTACATACATACATTACATTACATACATACATACATAAATACATACAAAAATGTACTTATATAGTGCAAATATAATCAAATATGCAAAAGATGAAAAAACCTCATGTGAGGAAATAGCCATAGATTGTAATTCTTCAGACACTTCTTGACCAGACCTTTTTAGAAGTTTAACAAGACCTGTAGAGTATCGCATGCCATTATCTAATTCTGTTACAAAAATCAATACACATAACTCTTTCTTGGAAACTGAATCCTCCTACACAATAAAAAATCAGATATCACAATTATTACCATCATCATAACCTTAACACTTGAAGCAATATAACTCTTCGAATGTCATCATATTTATAAGTTTTATTTTTGTCGAAAATAGAAAAATAATATTTTATAAGAGTTACATCAGCTTTATATACTTAATCAAAAATATGAAAACAGAAATTTCCTTATAATTTTGAAAGAATTTTGATAAAAAAAAAAGTTATTTAAATTCAAAAAAAAAAAAATTTTCTCTGCTTTTCTTCCTCCTTTTCTATTTCTTACAAAAAATTTAATTAATATAAAATTAATTATTACAAATTAATTAATAAAAAAATAATTAATACAAATTAATTAATAAAAAATTAATTAATACAAAATAATTAATACAAAAAAAAGTGCAGGCAAAGTAATTAATTTTTTCTTAAGTTTTTTCCTGTGCAAAAGTAATATTTTTTGTTTGTTAAAAAGGTTTTAGAAAATAAAAAATCATTATTTGCAAAGCCACAATACACAAGTTGCTAATGGGCATGCAAATGGGTTCACAAAATTTTAGTGTTTCTTTATGTATTATTACTTCATTTCTTTGATCATTATGCTCATATGTAAAAAAAAAAAAAAAAATCTCCCAATACAGATCAAACTTATATAGAAAAAGAAGCTTTTTAGATGAATTTTAAATAAAATAAAAAACTTTGCATGGAATTTACTAGACTTTTTTTTTGCTATCTCTAGCAAGCAATTAAATAGATTGAGATTTCTTCAAATAAACTCTTTGCTTTGCCATATATTAAACTTACATTTTCTCTCATAACCTCTTGCAAGCAATTTAATCGATTCCCAAAATCACTCTTACTACAACAAAAATCATAATGAACAATACATGATCCATTTTTGATTCCAGAGCTTAAAACTGATTTATCGCTCATTACTAAAATAAAACATTTTAATGATTAAATTTTTAAATTTATTATTTATATAAATTTTTAATTTTATATTTACTTATTGATTAGAACTTTAAACAAGAAAATTAGTATAGGTAATACAAACTAATTATTTGTTAAATAAAAAAACTAGAAAAAAAAAATGAAAATTCATTATTACTTAAAAAATTATTTTTTTTCTTTAGTGAAGCATTCCATGCAAGTTTTACATCTTTTACTGAAGACGGAGACATGAACTCAGTTATTACATTTGCAAATATGCTGTATCTTGTTAACTGGTCTTGTAGTTCATCTGCATTGTTTGCTGAGTTTGTAAATATTATTGTGTTCTTGTCATTTGCATCAGTTTCAAGAAAACCTGGAAACAAAATTTAAATATATTTTTTTTTTACTATGCTCGCTAAATTTTTTCTACATTATTTATAAAATAAAAATAAATTAATAAATTTGCAATAGAAAAACGCTAATTTTTTTTAGCTATTGCTGTTTCTGGTTACAATATACTGTTGGTTATCATTTTCCGTGTTTATACTCTCCAAGATTAATTTTTTAAAAAACTGTAATTGTTTTTAAAGTTTTTTATCTATCATATTACTTTCTGTTCATAAGAACTTAACATTTTATTAATGGAAGACATCTTTTTTATATTTATCAACTGAGGTTGATAGTTTTTTTTTGATATTTTTGTATTATTTTTTTAAATCTAGTGTTTTAGTTTTAACATCTTTAACAAAATGTCAATTTAATATCTTTTTTGCTTCATAACTAACAATAGTCTCATTCGTTTACTGTATCTATCCCAGCATGCTCTAAAAACTTTCATCTAGTTTTTTCCCCCGCACTTCAATCCTTTGGAACTCTCTCCCATCTTCATGTTTTCCTGACTCATACAACCTTCAACTTTTCAAGTCTTCTGTCAACCGTTTCCTTGCTCTATAACTCTGTTCTTTTTTTTTCCTAGTAACTCCCAACTTCATAGTGGTTGCTTGCAGCCTTGTTGGGAGTGAATGCAAATAAAAAAAAAGAGCAAATTGCAGCAAACTTCTAGAAAGTTCCTGCAAAGCTAATATTATTAAAAACATATTTAGATTTTAAAATCAAAAAACAGCCTAATTATCCAAAGCAAATAAGTAAATAAAAATAAATAACATACCAGTAAAATATTTATGACAGAAATTTAGTTCATACATTAAAATGAAGTATTAAATAACTAACCTATTAAATAGTCTAATCTTTCAACAGAATTGCACAATTGTACTACCATCGGTACTTCTGCAAACAATGCTGCTTCAATTTTATTTCCAATTATTACTAAAGGCTCTGCAAGGTAGCTATTCATAAAAGACCGGACTCCATAGGACCACTTCTTTGCCATAACAATTATTTGTTGTGTAGATTCACTTCTTTTCATTTCCTTCAACGTTTGAACAAATAGCCTCATAAAAATTTTTATATCTTCAGTATATTTTTCTACTAAAATATCTGCATTGTCAAAAATAAGATGGCGCAAACGTTTTAGATTTGTGAATTCATTATAAAGAATTCTAATTAAAGCAGGCATTGTTACGACAAGTATTTCACAACCATTGATCAACCTAATATTGTGCTCCTCTTCGTTGCCCATGCCACCATAAAAGATATCAACACGCACAGTCTTTTTGTAATAACTAACCAGATTTGAACAAACATCATACACTTGTTGAGCCTCAACCCAATCAGAGACACATATTAGCACTAATGGCTTCAAAATAATACAAGCAATTAAGTTAAAGAATTACATTTCATGATTATTTAATTATACAGCAATAATAATATATAAACAAACAATTAAGAATTAACATCAATTTAATGAGTTTATAATTCATGCCAATTAGAATACTTTAATTAAGAATCATATTCTTAGATATAAATTATGATTTATGAAAATCTACAACAAAAAATAAATATTATACCCCATTTCCCTTGCCAAAACTTTTATTTTCATCATTAACTAAACTCTTTGCGATTGGTAAAATATATGCAAGTATTTTTGAAACATAAGAACTGTTAGGCTCAGGTATACAAACTATATGTCGAAACGCCACCACAGCAGGATATAAATGCGACTGAAATCGAGTAGGTAACTCAAAACCTAAATCTATAACCTTTCTTTTTAGAGGAAGTGGCAAATTCAAATTTGATATTCTTTCAAATGGAGCTCTCTTTAGTTTACCATAAACAAAGATGTCATCAGTGTTTGTTGAACAACTTGACTCACACCCAACAGAGAGAGCTTTTAATACGGGATATGCATCAATTAAATCTGAACCATTTGTTGAGCTTTCATTTGAATTAAGAAATACAAATGGACTAAAAGACTTAGGCGTAATAGAATGGCTATCAATCATACGAAATTGATTATTTTTAGGAGAAGTTTGTTCATTTTGAAAATCATTAGGTAATATTTCTAAAAATTCTTTGGCTTCATTATTTTCTTTAGATGGAATCTTTTTTTTTAATTCCGAGGATTGAATCTTGGTAGTATTTTCTTTTTCTGAAAAATTTAAAGATATATTATTGCAAATGTTTTTAGGAGTAAAACTATTGTGAGTACTATTAAGCAAATTCTGTAATTCTTCAGAGTCTTTGTTTGCATAACTTCTACACACTTCTTGTTGCTCATCTTTAAGTTTTTGTGAAATCGTATGATCAAAATCATCACACACAGTTAGTTGTTCATAACTTTCTTTTTGTGAAATTGTATAGCCATTATACACTGCTTGATGTTCATAAGTCTGCTTTTGTAAAGTTTCATAGTTACTAAAAGTTTCAATAGATTGTAATTCAGGTTTGTTTATTAATAGTGAAGTTTGTCTTAAATGACTACTGGAATTATGTGAAGATGCTTCTTGAAATTCATCGTGTTGAAATGTGTCATATTTTTCTGAATGTTTTTTGGCATTTTGTGGAGGAGCATCATAATTTTTATGTTTGGAAGCATTTAGTTGAGATACATTATAGTTTGTTTGATTTAAAGTATTTGAAAGAAAATCATTTGAACAGTTTAAACCATTTGATTGAGGGACTGAGGGGCAAGAAGAACAAGAGGCAAAATTAGAATTTACAAGCAATTCATTAACATTACACCATGAACTTTTTTCTTGTACATACAATATAACATTTTTCGAGCAATCCGAATTCTCTGAAACTACTTTAATAGCAGTAATTTTACCTGAACAATAAAAGTGAAAATATAAAGTAACATATATTAAAAAAATATAATAAAAATATAATGAAAATAACCTGAAAACATATAGTGAATGCATAATGAAAATAAACACATACAATAATGAAAAGCCAGTTAAGAAAGTAAAATGAAAATTATGCATCAATATTATATATATCCATTTAAAAATTTCAAAATTTCAAAATGCTTTTAGTATACAAAAATAGCTTTAATTTTAGTTGAAGCTAGGTCATATTTGAGCCAGTATTTGGTTCAAAGTTAATGAAGGATCATTTTTTCTGGTGGTAGGTATCAATTTTATAACTAAAACTTGTGGGAAGTAAAACCTTAACAAATTTTTATAATTAAAATGTGTGTGATAGTGACCTCTCACTAATAGTGTGATAAAGACCTCTGACCAATAGTGAGATAGTGACCTCTTGCCAATAGTGTGATAGAGACCTCTCACCAATAGTGTGATAGTGACCTCTCGCCAAATATATTTTTTGGTAGGGGAATTTTCTGTTAAAATTTTATAATTCAAATTTTTCTGATAAGGTGTCCTCCAAACAAATTATTTCTAACTAAAAGTCTCTTATACCATTACATTTGTTTCTAATGTCAAAACCTGAAAAATTTATTAGGACTTGCTTATTACTATAGCAACAAGAAAAATTAAAAAATAATTTTAAACTACAAAGAAAATTTGTAGAAAAGAAAATTTGTAGAAGATTTGTAGAAAAGAATAGCCAAACTATTGTTATTAAAAAACTTGTTTTGACATTATTTTAATGAAATTAAAACTAAATCAAAACATTTGATTAAGTTTTTTTAAAGTTCATCAAAGCATCAAACGAATGTTCATTGAAAAAATTGATAAATAATAATAAATAAGAATAAATTTATTTAATAACTTTTTTATCTTCATACTGTTCATACAACAGATTTAATAAAAATCTGTATATTAATTATAATTATTTTAATACAAGCAACTATTACAAGCAAACAAACTTTTAGGTTAGGCTATTAGAATATGTTATTGCAACATTCTAATGTTATTGCAACAAATCTAACATGTATTAGAACAGTGATATCCTTTTAAGTAAAAATCTCGCTTAAGCTCTCGTTTTTTATTAATTTTAAATTAAAGGATTATGTTCTACTTTGATGTTTTTTGGCTACGCCAAGCTGATCTTGTTTAGATATCCATGCCAAGCTGATCTTGTTTAGATTTTTACACCAACGTATCGTTAGTGTCTTAGGTATTATCTATTAAAAAAGCTAACCCCTATCAGCTGGGCTTCATAGTTATCTGAAAATTTTGAAAAAATTAGTATAAGCAAAATTAAATATATATATATATATTTAGTATATATATATATATATTTAGTATATATATATATATTTAGTATATATATATATATATTTAGTATATATATATATATTTAGTATATATATATATATATATATATATATATATATATATATATATATATATATATATATATATATATATACATATATATATATATATATATATATATATATATATATATATATATATATATATATATATATATATATATATATATATATATATATATTTGAAGTTATGTTTATTGTAATGTCTTTAAAAACAAGAAAAATCGTTATAATTTATTTTAGCTAAATAATAAAAAAATAGTTTTTATATTAAACACTTTTAACAGTTTTTTTATGATTGAATTGCTTAAATCATCTAAAATAAATTCATAATTTAATAAAAAAATTGATCTATAGTGGTTTGTATCGTTATTAAATATTGTGTAACAAATAAAATTGAAAGTTTATCAATTATAAATGATAATGAAATATCATTTATAATTAGTTAATCTTCATCTTCTTGAAACACCTCTACAAGTAAACAAAATAAATGATATAAACACTTTGCAGCACAGGCTTGGTCAGGAAGCAAAAGCAATCGCTCTCGAATACTGACCACGGCAAAAATATTTAGTTTTTAAAAACTGGCCAGATTTTTTAGTCGTTTTGAGAATATTTAAGTATATGTATGCCCTTGAAACAAAAACTTTTTGTTTTACGGACATACATGGAAACATACATAAACTTTAATGCTCTCAAAAACATCTTGGTGAAATAGAATAAAAAGAATATTCGCGAACTCTAAAAACCCGTTAAATCTAAAAACTAATTCTATTGGTTCAAAAGATGCGCTACTAAGCAAAATAAAGTTCTAGAGTATTCTGTTGAACTGTTTTATAAAAAATTGTATTATTTAAAATTTATTAAATTTTGAGATTTCTAGCATAAATTGTTTTATAACAAACAAACTATTAATTAGTATCTTATTCATGGAGCCAAACCGTAAATCTTTTTAACTATTATTTGTTTACAAAAATGTTTACAAAAATGTTTACAAGAATGTTTTAAAAAATATTTCTTTTAAATTGTCAAAATTTTGAAAGTTTATTATATATTATATACTTAATTAATATATTCTTATTCTTTATTTAAAAAGTATGTATTTTTTATGTAAATGTAATTTTGTATCTGTTTTTCACTATAATGCAATCTTTATGATTTATATAAATTTGTGTATATATATATATATATATATATATATATATATATATATATATATATATATATATATATATATATATATATATATATATATATATATATATATATATATAAGCTCATTAAGCCCCCACCCCCACCCCTATTAAATATTTTTACTTGTTATTAACAAAAAAATTTCTCAAAAGTAAAAATAAAAATTAGTGAAAATTGGCCTTAAGAATTAAAAAACATACTAGTAACTGATAAATATTGAAACTTTCGGTGTAAATTCAGACAAATTATGTTATGGAGCTATATCCAACATTAGACAATAATGTTTCACAACACAAACAAAATTAATCCATGTACTTGAACACTGATTCTTTCCCCAAGAAAGAAAAGTTTATTAAATTCTTAGGTATTGGTTTACTAACTCTAATTATTTTTGCTTCATTTGCCATTCTTACAAACTTGTTATACTTAAATTTACTTTTTTCTATTTCATATACTAATCAAAGTTAAAAAGCCCACTCACTAAACATCATCAGCGGTATTGTGAACCAGTTCCGCTTCCACTTCATAAAATATTTTTAACCTTTTTATTTAATTTCTATCTAGTTAATTTAATTTCTACAGTGACTCAATGATTTAATCATTTCATTTGTTCATGTTACTAAAAATAATTATTTTAAATACATTAAACTTTTCCAACTACGTGAAGCATAAAATAGTTGTTAAAAAAAAGCATAAAATAGTTATTAGAAACTTTTTTATTTATAAAATAATTTAACTTAAAACTAAAACTAGCGTTAGTTTTTATAGAATCTTGTTTGACTTTTTTTTGCCGGGGGCTATTTTTATTTTGGAGGCCTTTTTTATGTGCCACAGCATAAACATGACTAAAAAAAAAGGTCTTCTTGAATGTTTCGGGGCCCCTGACTTTGCAGGGCCTGGGGCTATAGCCCCTTTTAACCCAAACCTCTTCAATCTATCACTGGAAATAAGACATGAGTATATAAATAAAAATTATATTATACTCTTTGATAAATAAAAGAGCATTTGTTTTCTTATTAAGCAATAGTAAGATGTTACTTTATATAAAAAATGTGGTAAAAGTTACTTTCTTTTCCTAGTTTTTTGTTGTTTTTTTTTTGTAATTGTCTCTTATCAGTTTAATTAATCTTTTTTGTGCTTTTTTTTTTAATGTTCTCAAAACGACTTAAAAATCTGGCCAGTTTTTTGCAACTAAATATTATTTCCATGGTCAGTAATCGAGAGCGATCATTCTCGATCATTGCAGTAGAACCAGTTTTTCCAAATACTTTCTACAACACAAAAAAATATGATACTTGCAATGTGACTACAACAACCATACATTCTTAAACCAGAAAAATGCCCACATGCCCGAGACAATACTGATTCTGCAGTCTTCTCTGTTTAGCCAGTGCTTTAGAGCTCAAGTCTTTTTGCACTCGCTTACACGCCCGCAAAATCTTTGGCGAGAGCAAAATAAAACACTTCCCAAAAAAGGCGTATTGTTTTAAATTGCAACAAAACATTTTTATTTATTTGTTCAACTTTTATAAAAAATGCTTTTTTTACCAGTTTCTTTTTTAAATTATTTTATCTAGTATTTATTCAAAGCATTCTTTCCTTTTTATTTAAATTTAAATAGCAGAAAAAAATAAATTTTCAAAATCGCACAGGCTAATTAAAAAATGACCATCCTGCCAGTACTTTTTCGTGCGACAGCATCAAATTTCAAACGGAAAAGACTAATTCTAGACTACCAGTGTTTAACAAATAATCAATAAATAGCCTATACTTAGTAGCATTTGAATATCTTGACTGAACTTAAGCAGAAATCATATCATAACTTTAAATTTGTTGAAAATTTTTATCAATCAAAACAATACATTTTTTATTTTTATTTAAATGTTCTGCTAGACAACTGTAACTTTACTTTATCTGATACCTATGAAATGTGATGTATTTTCGAATACCCTCCATAGAAAACTTTAGGAAATCATTAATATCTGATGCACCAATTGGTTCAAACCGCTTTTACTTTTGCTTTTTGTATTCAAAATGTAAGATTCCAATTCATTTTTTAAATTAATTTTATCTTTTATTAGAATTATCTGCAATATTTTTTAACATCTTTTTTTTAACAGATATATACTTTAAATGAAAACAGCTAATCAAAGAAGCAACTATTTTAACATCAGTCATTATATGAGGAAGCCATTGTATTCCTTATTTTTTCTAAAGAATCAAAAGATTGTTTAAATGTACCATTAAAAGCCTTAACAACCCACTTGCATTTTGTAACAAACCAAGTTAGCTTGAAAACTAGTAAACGAAAATTTTAGAACAAGTTGATATCTTGGTAAATACTTTATATGTAGTTTTCAATTCATCGACGGAATCTTTAAAACCTCTATCTAAAACTTGTAAATCCTTGGACAAGTTCTCTTATAACTTATAAATCCTTGACAAGTACTTTTATTTTAAAGTATCACTTTATATAGTTGCATCATTAATAGTTGCAGCAAAAGGTAAATCAATATTAAAAACGTTTACAGTGCGTACTACAAAAGCCTTAACTAAATGTCTTTTTTTTTGCCCACTGTACAGGTTTCGTTAAAAAAGAATTTGAACTTTTGTCACAGAATAAATATGTACCATTGGTTATAATTGTTAGCTGTTCCTCTTTTAAGTCAAACAAATCTTTGATCATATCTTTGTTATTTAATAGCCAATCATTTTGTGATCGTAATTTTGCTCCTAAATTTTCGCCAAAAAGATTAGCATTATATGAGACTTTTATCTGATGGCAATTTTTCTGAACTTTCAACGGTCATGACAAAGCAAAATAGCAAGCAATTGAATTTTGATCAACACCATACGAGATAAATTGCAAGAGCTTGTTTTTTTGAACACTTTTTTTGATATTTGAGGAAGTAGAGGAGAGGGAGAGAGGGTTTAAAATTATTTTTAAGTTGTAAAGTGAAGTTTTATATTGTTTTCAAACATCCTTGAGCGTAAATATGTGTTTTAGAAAGAAAAAAAAAAAAAAGGATCAAAAATGTAAGTTGGACACACTACAACTTTTATTGTCTTTTTTTAAGTCTTGTTAAGAATAAAAAAAAGATAATAAAAATAATTCTTTTTTTTATAAGGAAAATATCCAGCTTAATCCATATCTTTTGACTTCAGCTCCAACTTCAAATTTGAACTCAACTGTTGGGTTACAACCTTATAAATGGAATTGAAAAAAAAAATCCTATCAAATGTACATACCATCCTTTTGTTAGGACAGTATATACATTTTATTGAAACACCCTTTTGGCGTAAGAATTTTATTGAAACACCCTTTTGGCGTAAGAATCATTAGACTTATAAAACTCTGTGACTTTAAATAATTGAAGTTAATCAAATAAATTCCACATGGTGGCCACAAAATTTTAAAAGTTAAATTCCAGGACATTTCCAGGACATATTGTTGCGTTTTCCAGGACATTTTATATCTTATTAAATGAATATTATCAATTATCTTTACGTTATATTTTTTTTCATATTGATTGAATTATAGAATTAAATATCATATTATTATATTATAATTATTCCCTTATTTAAAATTAAATTCGAACCATTTATATAAAAAAAATTTTTGCATAAAAAAATTACTTTAATATTATTAGCAATTTTTTAATTTAACTCAGAAAAAAAAAAGTTCCAGGACATTTCAGGACATTTTTGAAAAAAATGTAATTTTCCAGGACATTTCAGGACACTTGCAAAAATCCAGAACATTCCAGGACTGTGACCACCATGATTCCAATTGCTTTTTGGTTTAACTAGTCAAGCCACTGAATTGGTCATCTTTGTTTGTAAACTTAAAATTTTCTCTAATATTTGGTAAAAAGGTCAAATGTTGCTGATGCCAAATCGAAACACTAAATTTTGATATCTAATATAATACATAATAATATAAACATATACAAAATTATGTTGATAGGTAATGTTGGAGGTATATATATAATATATAATAATATAAACATATTATGTTGATATGTAATGTTGGAGGTAGATATATAATATATAATAATATAAACATATAAATTATGTTAATATGTAGTGTTGGAGGTAGATTTATAATATATAACAATATAAACATATAAAAAATGATGTGGATATATAATGAATGTTGATATATAATATATAATAATAAAAACATATAAAATAGCATTTGTAACAAAGAAATGTTACAATCAATGTTTAATTAGTCATATTAATAAGGGTAAAAACAATAACAAAAATAGTATTAATATATACACATACCCTTATAATTACAGTCGGCATTAGGCAATGCCAACCTAACTGGCGACCTAAAAAGTCTGAGATCAGTGATTTTTTGGTGACCTCCTTATTAAAAACTTAGTAATTAAAATTTTTTGCCAACCTGATGTCAAAAATAGTTTATGACCTTATTTTTTCTAATTCTGAGCACTGATTAATAATAATAATATTACCAATAATAAAAAATAATAATGAAATTCAAACTTAAAAACTTACCATTAATGATATTATCTACAAACTTTGTGGCTGAGTTATCAAAATACTGTGATTTCCTAAAGAAAAATAATTAGAATTTTTAATACAATATAATTGGTTGAAATGACTATTATTGGTTGAAATTTGAACAATTTTAAATTGCATTTTTTCCAAAACTACTTAATCGATTCTGAAATTTTTTTTACATACTTAGTTTTAATTTAGTTTTGTATCACTTTTTTGTAGCTTAATCCATAAATCTCTGAATTTTTCAACACTATTTGCATATTTGCCAGTATTTCTTTCACTATTCTCCAGTAAGATTTAGTGACTTGCTTCTCAGGATTCATTGCATCATTTGGAATCATTTGAACAATGATTTTATTCTTCTTATACCAATACATTACTTTTTTTGGAGTAGTGGATTGATGCCAGATCTGGGCAAAGTAAACTTAACCGTATATATTTTTTAATTAGAGGGACAAGTTGTTTTTCTAAGCATTCATGTATAGATCTGATGTTAAAGTTATGTTATGAAAAAAGAGCTTTTAAAGCCACAACCGCTGCTAATAGCCTGCCAAACCGCTGCTAACAACCGCTGCCACAACGGCCAAACAAGAATCTTGAGAGCAAATTTTTCAACTTTAATGTGTTCATCTGCCTACTTTAAGCAGGGGCTATTCTAGAAAAATAATTTGGATGGCGGTATCTCCAGTGCTGGCGCCTTTCCATAAAGAAATTTGCCATTTTTTTGCAAAACAAAACAATGCTTGCTATTAAAAAAAAAAAAGGTCCTTTATTTCTAAATTTGGGCAGCGCCCAAATTTAAAATTAGATTTAAAATATACCATTTCTTTTTTATTGTGAATTTAAGTAAATTTTAAGCGACTAAATGCCTTTGTTTCTCCATCAAGTGATTTTTTTTGTATTTTTTTTCTTGTGATAACATTCAGATTTTCCTTTACTGCTTTGAATAAAAGATCTTCTACATTTAAACTTTGTAGCTAAATCTTATTGTGACTAAGTTGGATTTTAATGAAGTCACTTATTGATTATGTATTGATTAATCAAGTCATCTATTGATTTTGCTTTCTTTTTGTCATTAAATCTTGATTTTCCATCACATTACTTTTTGTTCATAGTTTCATTCTCCTAATAACATTTTATGACGATTCTAACATTTGTATTAAGAATTTTACATGTATTTGCATCTATTGAAGATAAGCACAATGGATTTTCTATATAATTTTTCGATTTCCAAACTTTTTACTTAACACTGCAAAAACTAATCAGATGAAAAAAAAAAACACCCACACAAAAATTACTTATATATGCATCACTAAAAAAAAATTTATAAGGTGGTTTTTGAGAGAACTCAACTTAAATTTGTCCACACTTTAACCGATCAAAGCAAAAAGCTATTTTAATATTTATTTTTATTTTAATCGTTGTTATTTTTAAGTTATATGATATTTTCAACATGCCCTCTCAATTAATTAGTATTTTAATTGTGAGTGTGTGTGTGTGTGTGTGTATATATATATATATATATATATATATATATATATATATATATATATATATATATATATATATATATATATATATATATATATATATATATATATATATATATATATTATAATAATGTATATATACGCACACTATATAGATCAGTGGTGATAACATGATATTTTAGTAATACAAAAATAAAATAACATTAATAAGTTTTTAAAATAATTAACTTTTTTGTTTTTAAAATAATTAACTGTTTTACAAAAAAAGTACATACTGCATTGACATCTGAAGATTAATATCTGGAGACAAACTGACAGGAACAATACCATCAAGTAAACACTGGATAAACTGATGAGGGAAATTTTCAAACTTGGAGTGTAAGACTCTTAATCTAAAAGAAATTTTACATAGATTTATATAGCCTAATGTTTGCAATTTCAAGATGAATGAGGTATATATGAATGAGGAAAAGTTGAATTTTATGCTTCTTATCTCTTTATCAGGCAAAAAGTCAAACAAAATTTTGGTCTCACTAAATTTTTACTCACAATTTTATCTTTTTTCAGCATTTAATGAACACCCCTCTAATCATACATAAAATAAAAATTTTTTTGGTGTTTTACTGGTGATTTTAAGGGTTTATTTTGTTGGTTTTGTTAAGTTTTTTATCATAAATTTTGGACTAGTTTCTTTTTATTCTAGTTTTCGTATATGATCATTATAAGCACAAATGCATGTATAAATGAAATGTATAATGTATAAATACCAAACTTATGAATATTTATATTATGTGTACACTCATGATATACAGGAACTATACTTGTCTTATATAAAAATTAACATTTTAATTTTGATCATGTAAATATACTAGTATTGTATTTAAAATATATAAGATATATTTTAAATTTAATAAATATGTATTTAAATTATATATATATATCTTATAAATGCATTGGCAGCTGTAAATCAAAGTACTAACAACAAATAATATATGAATATTTTAATTTGTATAATAATGAAAAAATCATTTATGCAGTAGAATTGCTTTAGTATTGCTGTATTAGCTAAAGCTTTCTGATGAGTCTCGAAGACCCAGACCAAGTTTATCTAATTATTCATAATTTATTTATTCATAGTTTATTTTTATTATTTGCACATTTTACATAATCACTTTCTAAATTTTTTAACCTTGTCATTGGAGAACCATTTTTAAACATAATGAAATGACAAAATGAACATATAACTTTTTTTATTTTTTCAATTTTTGCTTAAGGCTTTGTTTCTGCCCCCTGTAACTAAGGCTTTATTTCTGCCCCCTAGCTTAATCATAATTGATTATCAACAAGAACAAAAAGAAACCACTTAATAATTTAAAAGAGATCCTCTATTTTTTTTATACATTTGCCCTAAAACCCCTTTTAGATAAAAAATTACAACTCGTGTTTTTTATGTACTGTGGTTATCTTTTGTGATTAATTTAAACCATACTTAAGTTCATTTGTCCAATAATAATTTTTTTAGATTTTATTGCAGAAAAACTAGAATTTTTTTATTAAAGTTTTTTTTCAAAACAACAATTATTTTTATTTTTGATTTTTATAAAACTTTGCTTTATTTAAGTACTGTTTAACTATTTTTGAAGAACTATATTTTTATAATATTAGGGACCTGTTAAAAAGAAAATGGATTTTTAAGCCTAATTTAAGCTCAATTATCTAATATTAATAAACAAGCTCTAAATATTAGATAATTGAGCTTAAATTAGGCTTAAATTATTCACAAAAGATAACCACAATGCATGAAAAACACTGAATAATATTTTATATCTAAAAGGAATTTTAAGGCACCCTAATACATTTAGAAAGAGAGAGATGATATCTTTAAGTTATTAAGTAGTTTATTCTTGTTTTTCTTTCTTTTGGTAATAAATTATAATTAAGCTGGCAATACAGGAGGCAGAAATAAAATCTTAGAAATAACCACACCACATGAAAAGCACAGAGTTGTGATTTTTTATCTAAAGGCACTCTTATATATATACTTCAACTGATTCATAGCTAAGGACAAATTAATCTAATTCTATTTCACATTTAATATATAATATTTCTATTTCTATTTCACTATTTCCTAATATAATTTTTGCTCTCTTAATGAAAAAACGTGAACTTTAATTTTTCAGATAAAAAAGAAAAAAACAAAGAATAATGAAAGAAAAGATAGCTGCCCCATGCCAAATCCTTATTGGAGGATTTGGCATGGGGAAGCTTTTCTTTCAGCACAATTTTACGGCACCAGGCTATGAGAAGGGTAGAAATAAAGTCAATTTATGTAGTGATAGTCAATTTATGTACTGAATTAAATTTTTGTACTGAATTAAAATTTATATACTGAATTAAAATTTATGTACTGAATTAAAATTTATGATACTATTTATGTACTAAAGCCCTCGCAACTTCCTGTTTTTGTATGACATCATCCATGTGCATCTAATGCTGTATTTATATATGTATATATTTATATATGTGTATATATACATATATATATATATATATATATATATATATATATATATATATATATATATATATATATATATATATATATATATCCTTATAGTGTAGACGAAAGAGCGTTTTAATGTAAAAAAAAGTCTCTTACGACTACAATTTTAATTACCTCGTCTCTTAAGCTGTATTTGATTGTCGTCGAAATGTCAAAGCAATTAAATTAATGCGGAAGTACATTAAATTTTATTGTTTTTTAAACATTTTTTAAAAAACCGCAATTATAACGACTAGAAACTTTTTTTTTATTAGTGGTGTTTTTGTTTTTGTTTTATTAAAAAACATTTTAAAAACATGCGTAAATGTTGCTACATCGACTATCTTATAGCCTGACTCGCAACGGAGTGCTGCTACATCGACTGACAAATAGCCTGACTCGCAACCGAGTGCTGCTACATCGACTGACAAATAGCCTGACTCACAACGGAGTGCTGCTACATCGACTGACAAATAGCCTGACTCGCAAGGGAGTGCTGCTACAACGACTGACAAATAGCCCGACTCGCAAGGGAGTGCTGCTACATCGACTGAGGGTTTGGTTTGGGCAGGCAGTCTATCATTTCAAAAAAAAAAAATAATTAACTTTTTAAACTTTTTCTGGTCTGGTTTATTAACGTGCTCTTTAAAACTACAGTTTATGGGAAACTCTTTTTAACTACCATGCAAGAGTGTATATATATATATATATATATATATATATATATATATATATATATATATATATATATATATATATATATATATATATATATATATATATATAAATGCAAGCAATAGACACATGGGATCATCAGCTTCAGTACATTCATTGACTGACAAATAGCCTGTCTCTCAGCGGAGTGCTGTAACATTGACTAAGGGTTTGGGATGAGAAAGCAATCTTTTTCTTTCATTATTCTTCTTTTTTTTTTTCTTTTTCTAAAAAGTTAAAGAGCACTTTTTTATGTTGTGCAAAACTTAGGAAATTGCGACTTAAGGTATGCATAGAGTATAGTATAGTGTATACGGGCAATTCCGCAAGAGAGGCAGTTGTAACATATGACTTTATTTATGCTATTAAAAAATGAACCAAAAATGGAAATGACTTGAAACTTCTCAAAAATGTGGAATACTATTTCATAATTTAGTATGCAAAAGTTTTAGTATTGAAGTCTTATACATTTTTCAAAAATTAACTCTGTGTAGCGTGACGGTCATAATGTTTACTTTTTACCACTTCTGTTTAACAATTAACAAAACAGCTTTGTCTAACTAATTGCAGCAAATGGCATGGTAAAAAAAAATCATTTAGTGTGTGTATTTATATTGATGTTATTATATGCTGAGTTTCATAGTTTTTACTTGATGCTTTATAAGCATTTCTATGTTTTTTTGTCATGATGGTCGGAACCGTGACGGTCGAAACAAAAAATCTAATTTTGATAAACAATAAATAAAACAATGCAATCAAAAAAAAAGATGAATAATCATAAAAACCATGTCAACTATGTAGAAGCATAAACTTAATAACATTATCAATGTTCATAATTATGGTTTTTTGATACTGAGTTCGTTAAATTTAAAATTAATAACTAAAGACAGGCTGCTATATTTATTTATACTTTAATACTTTACTAAAGTTTAAATGGTTAATGCTCCTAACATAAGTTTACAAAATAATTCTTTCAAAGTAAAAATATCGATTTCAAAATTGTTTTCAAGCTTTGGTTGCCAACTTTCACTTGATTTTTTAGCTTGTTTTCATTTCTTTTGTGTTCTTTGATAACTGTCTTCTTTAATAACTTCCCTTTCTTTTTTTTTCCATCAACACTTTTCCGTTTCTTGCTCTATAAGCTTTTGATCTTTCAGCATCTGATTTAGGCATTTAAAAAATGTTATTAAATATAACTTTTGAGATTAACTTTCTGTTATAATAAAATAAAAAAAACTGCGAAATTTATAATTAAAAAAACCGCGAAATTGAATAAACAAAAACGTTGCAATGCAAACTATAAAAAACGTTTAAACGAAAAATACTTTATTTATGTTAAAAGTTTTTATTTCTCAACAAATATTAATTTATTTACATCAATTATTATAAATAAGTGATTTATATTTTAAAAAAGAAATAATTTATAATTTTAAATTATTCTAAATTACTTTAACAAGCTTAGCAATATTATGAGTAAACAAACTGCAAACGATTTTTAACTTGGTTTCAATAATGAAATCGTTCACACTGAAACTTTTTATATAGATGTCAAGAAGCCCTTATGGAAAAACAAACATAGATCGTAACGTACTTTGTTACATCTTAATACTATCATCTGAAGTTCTTTTTTAAAAAAAAATTAAAGCAATCATAAAACTTATATCAGTATCTTTATTATTAGCTTTATAAAGTCTGATTCAAAGCCTAGAAAAAACTTCTTGACTTTTTCTCGTCACAGTCATTAATTTGATAAACGCATTGATTTGATAAACATTGGGTCAAATATAAAAACATTGGGTCAAATATAAAAAAATTGGGTCAAATATAAAAACAAACAACGCATTAATTTGATAAACATTGGGTCAAATATAATATAATAAACTAAATATTTTGACTGATATCTACGTTTCAGTTATTTATTAAAAAAGTTGAAGTTAAACAAAACTAAAAATTAGAACGACAACAGAAAAATTCAGAGTACTAAGTCTCCTTACCTCCAGAAGTCAGACAATTTTTGAAAAGTCTGACACATGGAGAGCTTTGATTAATTCATCAAGTCGAAAAAAATATAAATTTCTTCAGTCTAGGGTTAACGAGATTCAGCAGTTTATTATTATTTGTTATATGTATTGTTTATTGAAAATTTTGGAAGCGTCCTCAAAAACAACAATAGAAAAAAGGTCACTAGTTTTATGCTTTCATGACCTGGTTTTTACTGATGTAAAAAATCTCTATAAATATATGTTAGCATATAATATATTACATTTGTATAAGTATATCTTAGTTTTTCTCAACTGAAATAATTTTATGAAAATATAAACTTTTGAAGAAAGATACTAATGGCGATTTAAGCCATATAATGGCAATTTAAGTGCCCTATAATGCCACTCGAAAATTTTTTCATATTTCACTATTCATAACACAGTTAAGTTAAACATATGAATAAAATATGATATGATAAATATGAATAAAAATTTATTAAATAACTATAATGATTTGCACTCAACGCATTGAAACCAATAATCTTTTTTCTTTTGTCGTGGTAAAAGAGTCTGTAATCACCACAAAAAGTATCTTCATCGCTTTTACTTCATTTTAACAGCTGAAGAAAATACTATAGTTGAGTATGTATGCTGTAAAAATTGTGCTTATCAAGCTATGAACAGAAAAAACTAACAAACCTCATTTTGGATGTGTTAAAAATTCGCGATCATGCTAACAAAAAGATGAAAGGAGGAAGAAAGTTCATTGCTTTGACTGTAAATGACAGGAAAGCTCTTTTGAAAAAAAGGTAAAAATTATCTAATTTATAAAAAATTCCTTCTTGTATTGATACAATTCTTTACTACTGTATTGACTTTTTTTAGATTTTTCTATCTAGCCTAAGTAAGTCGTTTTGGAGACAATGGGACGCCAAACATGTCAATGTTTCCTTAAAAAGACAAGAAATCATCACAATGAATAGAGCAATAAATTGCACTTGTGAAATGGCCTGCTCTTATTTAGGTAAAACAACTTTGAAATTCATAAAAATAAATAGCATATGTTATAAAAATTATAGCATATGTATCTGGCACTTAAAGCCAGAATTAACAAACTCATCCAAATAACTAAGAAATGCTAATATAGAGTTAAAATTCTGAAATCTGTTACAGTTTTATTTTTAAAAAGTAATTTTAAAGACTATTCACTTTCAGATGATCTTGCTAAAGAGTTGGTGGAATGTGGCATCATGATTAAAGAAAATTAAGAAGCATCTGGATATTAGGCAAATTGACTTGTCTCAGACCTTTAATCACAATGAAACTCCACAATTTGTTAACTTAGGTGTTAATGGTTCAGCAAGCTGTTTAGTATATGGTGGTCATGTTGAAAGATGTCAAAAAATGATTCGGCAAAATCGTGAATGTGTTACAATAAATCCAATGGTGTCGTTATCAGGTAAACTATACCAAAACATATTTTAAACTTTAAACTTTACTTTTAACTAATTAATACATATTTATTATACTTTGTATTCTATATAACACCCCGATTTACTATAAACGCTTATTAGTAAAAGTGGATTTTATAAAAGTTAATAAATTTGAAAATTTAAGACAACACGTGTATTTTATTACTAAAAACTTCACATTTTCTATGCTTATTTTATTATTTAGGTGAAAAATGCATCTGCCATGTAATATTTGGTGCTCAAGAAATTGAGATGGCTCCGCCAAGTGCTGTTTAAAATACTGAGAATGGATCATAAGATCACAAATCCTTACTTTTTATAAATTATTTGATCGACACTTTGAAAAAGAAATACTTCGCCCTGTTAGTACAACTAAGCAATGGTCACAGTTCTCGCTTCCATTATACCTTACTTCGATTTTTTAGAGAGAAAGAAATACACTTATTTATTTCACTTCCAGACACTACTTGATCAAATTAACAAGGCACTTCATGAACACTATGCAAATGCAAAAGAAAATCTATTCAACCAACATCAAACAATTAATAGAGAGGCCTTTATGTTGTCTCTTGCAAGTATGTGGGACAGTGGGCCACGCCAGAATCGATAAAAAAAGCTGGAAAGAAGGTTGGTATTACTAATGAAAGTTTAAATGTTGCATTTATGCAAAATGATAAATTTCAACAAGCATCTATGCTAGCAGAGGAAGTTAAAAAAAACAGTTCTATGATAGAAACACCTCAACAACAGACAACATTATGTTTATTAGCTGCTTCACCTAACGTTACTGATATTTCTATAGTTCTAAATAGCAAATTAAGTTCTCCTATATCAATAGAGCAAAAAGATAGCCAAATGTATTGGAGAGAAAAAGCTTCAATGTCCCATGTGTCAAATTGTTATGAAATCAGTATGCAGTAAATAAAAGTGCATCATGGATGATACAAAACCAATTATGATTTTACCTAAATGTTTATCGAAAATGAGAACTGCTGCAAAGAATTTATTTAGAAAGTCTAATGATGAAGAAGACAGTATTGAAGATTTGGAACCTAATAGATTCCATTATTGAGAATCTTTTTTATTATTCATTAAAAATTAAAAAGTTATTTTTGTTTTTTGAAGATTTTCTCCTTTAGAAGTATAAAAAATTCAATAAAAAATTAATAATATATGGTGCCCTTAAAAAGACAAAAATATTAACATTTTAGCAGTGCTTTTTAAGCAACCAAATCTATGTGTTCTTATCAAGCAAGTGAAAAACAATTACTACTTCTATAAGGACCCTATTAATAGCTTTTTTTAAGACTCTTGTTTACGGCCTTAAATTCAATATTTTTCATTTTATGTTGAATATTAGTGATTTTATGTACTCAAAATTTTCTAAACAATCTTCTGGAGCAAAATTTAAAAAAAATTTGAACTGCTGCACAATAACTTGACTTTTTTCTGAAATTTATATGGTCTGATTATATTTTTGAATAAGCACAATTTTTTTAAATGCTTTTTAAGAATAGTTATAAGCAATTTAATTTTTTTTGTCTTTTTAAGGGCACTGTCTTTTTAAGGGCGCTATACCTGTATAATCTATAAAAATCTATGATGGAGAGACAATGTTACATAATGAATTAGTTACCAGATGATAAGAAAAAATATTGTTTAATAATAATGGCATAACTATTGAAATAATATTGCATAACTATTTCTTTTGAAACATTTTACATTCAATATTTTACTATTTTACATTCCTTTTAAACTAAGTTTAAATTTTTAAAATCATATTTTATTTAATTAATAACACTTTTAATCAAAAAAGATTTTTATAAAGAAATATTTTTCTTTAAAAAATTAAATTTTTTAAAGAAAAATTAAAGATTAAATGCTTTTTTTTACGAACTAATATTTTCGTAAAAATAATAAGTTGTAAAATAAACATCACATAAATGATATTAAAAGATTTAAATATTCAAAAATAAATAAGTTTTTACTTTACGTAAAACTGCATCAGAGGAATAATTTTTGGTCACCCATCACAAAATTGCCTGGTTAATGTCGGGTGACCACGTGTCTACACTGCTGATATATATCATATATCAAATAAAATTAATTAAATGTTATTAAACATAATAAAAGTAAATAAATAATGTTTTTGTCAATATATAAAACTAAAATCAATTAAGATAAAATAGAGAAAAATAAAACTAAAAAAAAAATCTAATAAGTTTTATACAGGACTGCTTCAACAACTAATAATGAGAAAAAAGTAACAGTTTGCTTTTTATAAGAAAAAAACTACAATAGTGAAATAGAACTAAATCTTGAATCCAATGAAGAAAATCTTACTGATGACAAGGATGATGAAAATGGAATGCGGGTAGGGAAATAAAACTTTAAAACCTTTTTCATTTTGGTGGTTTTAAAAAACCACCAAAAAATAGTTATAATCACTAAAGTGCAAAAAGTTGTTAAAAATAAAAAATTTGATGCCAGTAAAATTAGCGGTATTTCTGCGACGCAACATTTACATTTATGTTATTAGATTTAGGTGAAGATAATAAAATTGGCTTTGCATTAAAAAAAGAGCTAGAAATCTAAATTAACCAAAGAAGAACTACTTTATCTGATGTTTTACAATATATGCTTAATGGAGGGAAAAATAAAATTTATAAGAGTATTTCTGTTCATTCTTAAAAGGAAATAAAAACTTTATTCTAGCCCGACATCTTAATGAATGAAACTTCTCCAGAAGTTGATTTAACAAATTCTGAGTCTGATCCTGATGTAGAACCTGAACTTGAATCTAACAAAAGTAAAACTGAACCCTCCTTGGCAAAATTGCTACAGCAAAAAATCCAGCAGTCACTTTTACACCCGAGAACAAAAACTTTAAAAAAAACCATCAATTCAATCACCAATAGAAAATTAAATTAAATTTTGGGACAAAAGTGAATCGCAAAGACCACTTTAGAAAAGTATTTACAATAATCTGTTGTGTATTTCTCCAACAAGTGTTGAAGCAGAAAGAGCTTTTTCAATCGCTGGAACATTTTTAACAAAAATCAGGTCAAGACTTAATGATATGATATTGGATAATTTGTGTATGCTAAGAAGCTTTTTTAAAAATCAGAGTTAAAAAAAATGTCGTTATATATTATTTTATTTTTCTTATTGAATTTAATTTGTTTATTTTATTTTTTTCATTGAATTTGTTTTGTTTTACTGAGATACTAAAAAAAAAATTAATTTAATTAATCTAAAATACTTTGGAATTCCAAATTTCATATCATGTAATGCCGAAAATTCTGGAAATCATTTTTCAATAAAAATTGGATTTAATAATTGCCATTAAAGTTAAATTTAGCAGTTTAAATGATAAATTTTTAAATATTCCTCCCACCCCCCTCCAAAAAAAAAAAATAATAATAAAAAATTTTGTGTAAAAAAATGAGTCACACCTCTATATAATAGATTATATTCAATTTGTACATAAAATAAAATAAAAAATAATAACTGTTGAAAAATTTAAAAAAATAAAAACAAAAAACAAAAAACCTTGCTTTTGTAACACACACTGTGTGTCCTTCGTCAACCAGAAAGAGTCTAATCATGAAAAAATAACTTTTTGAATTGAATAGCAAAACATGAATATCAAGGTTAATATCAAAATTAAATTTATATTTATTTTACATATTATAAATATTACTATTAATACAATCCATATTTTATCATTGTGTGTGTGTCAGCCTTCTCTATTTAGCCAGCGCTTTTGCGCTCAAGTCTTTTTGAGCTCGCCCACATGCCCGCAAAAACTTTGGCAAGAGCATAAAAAATGCAAAAAAAAATTAAAGCGTTCTGTTATAAATTGCAATAAAACTTTATATATATATATATATATATATATATATATATATATATATATATATATATATATATATATATATATATATATATATATATATATATATATGTATATATATATATATATATATATATATATATATATATATATATATATATATATATATATATATATATATATATATATATATATATATATATATATATATATTAATTCAATAATTCTATAGGAAAAAATATTTTTACATACAAAGTTAAATTTTGTGTTTTGTAATCTAAAGAAGACAACTTTTTTTAGTTACATTTATTTGATGACTTTTTAACTATCTAACTGATAATTCGATGTCAAATGACCTAGGTCATGTCACCAAACATCTCATATTTTGCTAATCTTTATACAGTTGAGAGTGCTTGGGAAGTCAGAATTGCTTAAAAATTTTAGACTCTGGATCCAAAAAGATCCTGAAATATAAACGTTTTACTTTTAGCAGAGATTGGCCAGGCTTCTCTTGTCTTTATTTAAAGGTTTCAAGACATATAACTTTAAAAATATTTGATTTTTCAACTTAAAAATTTGTAAGTGGCTATTTATGAGAATGACGAATCTAATGAAATGATCAGAAGTTTAAAAAATTATTATAAAGTACCTGTAATTATCAATTTAAATAAATATAGCTAAAATTTTAAAATATATATTTAATATATTTATATACCTGTTTTAAATGCTCAAGAAACCAATGTGGCCTTTTGATGATATCAAAGAAACATATATTACACATCCAACCCTCGAAATTAGAGTCGACATTTAGCAATGCCGACCTACATGCCAACCTAGAAGTGTTTGAGGTCAGCAAAAAATTGACCACCTTTTTTTATGGTCAAACCTTTGTTTTACATTTTATCTGCAGACCTAATCCCAACCTCACACAGATTAAATTCAGTAAATTATTGCCGACCTTATTTTTCCTAATTCTAAGGGCTGCACATCATTCTAAATTCATTGATCTTTCAAAAAATATAAGGATTTTGATCTGCAAGTATATGAATTTTCAGATACGGATAATGGGGCATGGTTCCCCATTTTTGTAGCAGAATATTGCGATTGATTTTTCACTACTTTCCAGACTAGCTGGAGCTTTGAAAAGTTGGCATTAGTGTAATGCTAATGAATGTGCATGTTAAAATTGTTTTCAGGGCCCCAAGTCATTAGAGAGGAGCTGGGGCAAGCTGGGCCCACTTTTTTGTAGTAGAATCTAGTGATTCAGACAAACTGAAAATCTGAAACTTTCAGCATTTGTGTAGTCTTGATGAACGTGTGCTAAAATTGTTTTTGGGGCAGACTACTAGAGGTTTCATGGCCTAGGGCACTGGAGCCATGCCCCACTTATTTTATCAATTTTTTTTTTTTAATAAAGTAAAGATAACTTTGAAAATATTGTCTTATAAAGTGATGAAATAAAGATAACTTTGAAAATATTGTCTTATAAAGTGATGAAGCAAAGATAACTTTGAAAATATTGTCTTATAAAGTGATGAAGTAAAGATTTTTTAATAAAGTAAAGATAACTTTGAAAATATTGTCTTATAACAGAATAAGTACAAACTAAAAAAAAAAATTTTAATTTGTACTTGTTCCATTTTATTTAATTATTTACACATAATAAATTATCCAATTTTAATGTATTAATGTTTATTTGTTGATTAGGTTGAATACTTTGAATACCAAAAAAGAAAAAACGCCTGTTATATTAAAATCTTCATTTCTTCAAAGCTAATAGAATCTATAGATTCTGTGTTAAATTGATAATAGCTAATTTTTCCAGGAATTGTTTTACTTAGCTAAAAACATTTTTTCAAAGTGGTGTCAGTCTTTCTTTTTCAATCTTGAAAAAAATAATCCTTTTAATATTATTTGTACAGTAGTCAAACATTTTATTACAATTCAATATCTGCTCATTTATTGGCCTTTGTAGACTTGCATTTGCAGTTAATTGTTTTACATTGCCACTAATACCATCACAATGGTGACATATCATGACTTGTAACAAAAAATGTCCACTTTCCATCAATGTCAAAATCATTTTTATAGAGATAAATATTATAAAGGTATTTGTGATTTTTATAATGTGCAGCACCAACTGAAAAAAAAAAAGAAATAATAGGATGAGTTTTTTTTAAGTAAATAACTATTTGCATCTGAACTTCATACACAAAACCAATGTCATACTCATTATCTTCTGATATAAATCAAAATAATTTTTCTTTAAGCTGGTCATTTTTGTTTAATAAATACAGGACAATAAGGTGTAACTTGCATTGACTTTGACACCAATGGTAACTTTGGATTTTATCTTGAATTAAATGTGTAGTTTTCTGCAAAATCACAATAAATCAACACAATATAGCAGTCTTTTGCCAACCTTTCCTTTAGTTGCCTTGATAACAATGTAACTTGTTTATTGCCTCTGATAACATCATTGCGTATTTTTCAATTATTGTTGTCTGACAGATCAATGTTGTTCTGTCTGTTTTCTTTTCAATTCAAAATGTTTTAAATTATACTATGCAAAATTCTGTTAAAATCATTATTTTAGATAGATGACTGTTTTTAATCTATATACTTGCAAATTAGAACTCTTATAAACATATTTACTTTTTTAAAACATTTTAGGAAAGATCACTGAATACAGAATGCTCAAAAAATGAATGGAGCAAATATAAACCAAAAAATATTTTTGAAGAAAATATTTTCAAAGTTATCTTTATTTTATTGAAAAAGAAAAAAAAAAAATTTTTTTAGAAAAGTGGGGTATGGCCTCCAGTGCCCCAGCGATGACTAGACCAGGGCAGATGACCAGAGGGTCAATACCCTCTGGTCATTTGGAAACAATTTTAACACACCTTCTGGAAACAATTTTAACACACCTTCATCAGAACTACACAAATGCTGACAATTTTAGAGCTCCTGTTTGTCTGGAAAGTAGTAAAAAGGAAAAGATTCTGCTACAAAAAAAGTGGGGCTATGACCCAGCTAGCCCCCCCCCCCCCAAGTCTTGGGCCCTGAAAACATCTTTAACATGCATGTTCATCGTCACTACAGAAATACCAAGTTTCAGAGCTGAAAGGTAGTGAAAAATCAATAGCAATACTCTGCTACAAAAAAGTGGAGAATGTGTCAGTTATCCATATATATAAAAATCCATATACTTGCAGATCAAAATCTTTATATTTTTTGAAAGATCAATGAATATAGAAATAAGTGCAATATATAATTTTTTGATATCGTCATGGCCACATGGGTTTTTTGAGTGGCCACATGTAATTTTTTGATATCGTCATGGCCACATGGGTTTTTGATCAAAACCAGGTACATAAAAAATAACTAAATTTATTTAAATTGATAAATACAAGTTTGATAAATATAACATTTGTTAAAAGTAAAATGGTCATATTTCAGGATATGATGAGACAGTATGTTTTTTTTTATGGTTTGTTTTCAAATTAAAAATATTTAGTTATTAACAAGTACTTGTTAATTGTGATAAATTAGAAAAACAAACATTAATAAGGAATTTTTTTTTTAATAGCATACTTTTACATACCTTTACCTTCACCCCCCCCCCCTCCTCTCTCACACATTTGTACATTCTTCAAAGACCCCTATCACCCTATGAGCATATGTACTTTATGAACTTTTAATTATATCAGGTCAACTGAAATCCACATTAAGTAATTTTTTTGTATATATACTCAATACAGTAACAACAGAATTAACAATAATATCTTCAATATATGATTTTAAAATTACCGTGCAATAAATCCACCGATGCTAGTAAAAATAGTTGTCATTTTACCACGATACCATAACTTTTTATCAGAATCACCAAAGGATGTGTATGCAGCACACAACTAAAATTTTAAAACTTTAAAAAAAAAATTAAAGAAAAAAAATTTGTTAAAAAAGAACAAGGAATGAAAGTTTGAAAGATACTGGAAATATGCGTTACTATAAAAGTTTGATACATTAAAATGAACACAAAACAAACCAGAACATTGATCTAGAATAAGTTAAACCTAAATTAGCTTTAAAGTATGGAATTATATTATAAATAAACTAAATAAAATAAATTATGAAATGTAAGTAATAATATTTAAAATCCTAGATGGAAAATCATAGAAAAATGGTAAAGATTATAAAAAATTAAAATTTATTTTTACTCTTTAAAAACATCCATTAAAAATAAATATTATAATAGACAGTTCCATATTATCCAATAAAATTTTAAAAAAAATTCAATTTAGAATTTGTTTAAAAAGATATATATGTTTTTTTTTTAATACTACCTTTCCTATTTGTGGTAAACACATTGAATCATTTCCATCATTGTTATCATAGTATGTATTTAAAGAAGCAAGGTAGTCTAAATAACCATCAAAATCTTGTTCATTCAAACTTGGACGACAACTAAACTTTCCAGCATGTTCAAACTATAATATGAAATATGTTTTATATATTAATAATATTACAGTGCTCAGAGTAACAATACAATGATTATGGTTTTAAGATCTAAATGAAAGTAAAAAAAACAAATTCTAATTATTTAAAAATATTAAAATTTTATTTACATAGTAACAGTCATTGTGATTTGAAAGAGTGATTTTCATAGGCTTTGTCAATGGCATTTTTATGGAATTTTTGAATATTTTTGAGAGTTGTTACAGAACCTTGAAAATTATATATATATATATATATAGAACCCTCAGAATTAGAAAAAATAAGGTCGGCAATAATTTGTCACCTCAATGTTTTAGAGGTCAGCATCAGGTCAGCAAAAATTATTTGATACAAAGGCCTTACCATAAAACATAGAAACAAGGTCGGCAAATTTTTGCTGACCTCAAACACTTTCAGGCAGTTAGGTCAGCATTGCCGAATGCCAATCCTAATTCCAAGATTTGTGTGTGTATATATATATAAATAGTACTAAGGTAAGCAATCTGATGTCATACTGAAATAGCCTGCTGTCGGGGCTTCAGTACATACATCGACTGACAAATAGCCTGACTCGCAGTGGAGTGCTGCTACATCGACTGAGGGTTTGGGATGGGGAAGCAATTGTTTTATTTGTCATTCTTCATTTTTTCTTCTTCGGTATATATATATATATATATATATATATATATATATATATATATATATATATATATATATATATATATATATATATATATATATATATATATATATATATATATATATATATATATATATATATATATATATATATATATATATATATATATATATATATATATATATATATATATATATATATATATATATATATATATATATATATATATATATATATATATATATATATATATATATATATATATATATATATATATATATATATATATATATATATATATATATATATATATATATATATATATATATATATATATATATATATATATATATATATATATATATATATATATATATATATATATATATATATATATATATATATATATATATATATATATATATATATATATATATATATATATATATATATATATATATATATATATATATATATATATATATATATATATATATATATATATATATATATATATATATATATATATATATATATATATATATATATATATATATATATATATATATATATATATATATATATATATATATATATATATATATATATATATATATATATATATATATATATATATATATATATATATATATATATATATATATATATATATATATATATATATATATATATATATATATATATATATATATATATATATATATATATATATATATATATATATATATATATATATATATATATATATATATATTATATATATATATATATATATATATATATATATATATATATATATATATATATATATATATATATATATATATATATATATATATATATATATATATATATATATATATATATATATATATATATATATATATATATATATATATATATATATATATATATATATATATATATATATATATATATATATATATATATATATATATATATATATATATATATATATATATATATATATATATATATATATATATATATATATAGGCAGGAATGGTGGGCAATCGCCGGCACCCGCCTCTGCACCCATGTGCCAATAATAAAACTATTTTTTTTTAAACAGCAAAATTTATTGTTTTTAAGGTTGAGTCATATTTTTCTTACATAAACAAAAATGGTAAAAAGCATCTAGCACATTTAAAATAAAATATCACTTTAATAAGTATTATGTAATTAGGAAATAATAATATTTAAGTTTTTGTGAGCATCATTAATATAAAAAAGTTCGTAATTGAAGATCTTTTTTAATGTTTTGACATTATTTTTAAATAAACTTGATAAGTTCAAATGACCAGTGTAAAGATTTCATTTAAAAACATTTTAAAAAAACTGTAAAAAAAAACAAAAACAATAAGAACTAAAAAGCTTTAGAAGATTTTTAAAAAGTTATTTAAATTTTATACTGTTAATTTAAAAAAAATTTTAGAAATAAAATATACTCTTTAGTACACAATATTTTTATAATTGCGTTCTTAACTTAGTACCTATAATAATAAATAATAGATACACGCTTCATATTTTTGTTACTGTCTTATTTAAAATTTAAATAAGACAGTAACAAAAATATGTTCGTTTAAACCTGAATCATGTGACACAAAAACAATTTTAAAAGTATTAAACTTCATTCAATGTTTGATTAGAAAGTTTTAATTCCAAAAATCTTTTCCTATAATAACTTGCTTTTCAATGCCATTTTCAAGTTATTTTAGTGCTATTTTTAAACTTTTTAAATTAGAAAATTCTTCACAAAGAAGAAAAGTAACGAAGGAACTTTTAAATGCAAAAATAAGCAAAAATGCAACACAAAATAATATTAATAATAAATTGTTTCATTAAAAAAGTGATCTAAATATATATTAATACAAAAAATTATATATGATACAAAAAATTACAGTGTAAAACATAAAAAACTAATCAAGTAATCAATTTTATGTTACTCAAGAGCTTTTTTATTTAAATATCAAAAATTACCACAAAAATGCTTAAACATAAACATAAACCTAGTAAATATAAAAATATTTGTGGATTATCTTAAGAATGTAGAAAAAAGTAAAAGTTGGTAAGAGACCTAAATTCAAATAAAAGCCAAAAGGACCATGGGAGAATTTTTTTTGTTTTAGGCATTTTTTATTATAAAAACTGTTTTAAAATTTTCAGGGTGCAGGCCTGTTGTAACTAATCCGATTTCTAGAAAAATATGGATGTGCAACATGCCAGCAATTATTCCAATACAGTCCAAGAGTGACGATCAAAGAAAGATGTACTTGTTGTTATTTTGATGGACATGATTTATGGTTGTAACAGCTGATTATAGTTTTTGTATTTGTGGTATGATTTTTTCCTAAACCAGTAGTATTCCTTTTTAGCATATTTATAACAATTGGTGACGAAGTGAAAATGATGCATTTGGCTAATATGTTAAGTTTTGATTTAGAAAAGGATGATTTTATAGAATACATTGAACAGTTTGAAAACTATTTACGATGCAGAACTACAAAAAGATGCAGAACTACAAAAAGCAGTTTTTATCAACTGTCGGAGGACCTACATTAAAACTTATTTGTAGTTTGTGCAAAAATGACACTAAAAATAAAACTTTTACTCAGATAATGCTAATGAGTTTATCTAAACTGTAGTTAAGGGAAATGTGCCCACATTAATGGGAAGAGATTGGATTCAGAGACTAATCTTAGAATAGGTAGAATTGTGTAAAGGAATAAGAAATGTTAACTTTTGCAATGGGTTTGATTTGAGGGTAGAGGCATTAGTGGCAAAATTTCCAGGTGTTTAGTGATAATTTAGGATACCTAAAAGATTTTAAAAGTCACATACCCATACGTGAGGATGCACAACCAAAGTTTTTTAAACCAAGACTGGTACCGTATGTTTTGAGATCAGGATTGAACAAGAGCTTCATCACTTGGAAGACCAAGGGTTTTGGAGAAGAGTCCAGTAAAATGGTCAGCATCTATAGTGCCTGTTCTAAAGAACTCAAAAGATCCTTTAGGTCCATTATATGTGGGGATTATAAAATAACAATAAATCCAGCTGCACCTCTGGATACCTATCCAATACCAAACACCACTGATCAGTTAGCCACTATGGCAGGAGGACAGAAATATACCAAGCTTAACTTAACCCAGGCATATCAGCAATCTCAGTTAAATAAAGCTTTACTAAAATTTCTAACAATAAATATGCATCAAGGTTAATATCAGTCGACTTATCTTCAATTTGGTGTTCATAGTGCATCTTTCAAAGAAAAATGAACATAAGGTTGAGCAGGTTACCATTTGTGAAAGTCTAAGTGGACAATATACTTATCAAGGCCTATTCTAGAAAAAAAAAATTTGTGCAGCAGTACCCCCTCGTATTGGAGGACTTTGGCTTAAAATCAGCGGTTTTTAGCAAAAAAAACAATTTTTGTCGTATAAAATATATTTAAAAAAAAAAAGGTTCTCAAATTTTAATTTGGGCGGCGAGAGCATTTAAGCCAACTTAGTATTTTTTTAACATACAGCAAAACAAAATTATTTGTATTATTTTTCTAAACATCGCAAAAAAAAATTTGACAAAAACAATCAAAACTATTTTCTAACTTCTCTGGTCATTTTTACGCTATGAAGTTTTTTGTTTTTCCGTCAAAAAAAAGTAATTACAAGCAATTGCTTTCATTTAATTAGAGATATTTGATATACTGTTAAATTTTTTTATTATAAAAATTTTTTGATTACACTGATTAAGTTTAAATTGCTGAGCTTGCTAAATTGGATATGGATAAAAAAAATCATTTCATTTTGCATTTGATATTTGATAACGAAACTTTTGAAATGTCGGCAACTCCATACCAATTAGAACCTGTTAAGGTTATGAAAAAAAAGAACAAGAACACACCAAACAATACAGTTGTGAGTAGTATCAGATATGAAAGTTTTAATGTTGTTATGGCTAATGCATCAAAAATATATGACAGCAATAACAGCACAAGCCGGCATTATGAATTTTAAATAATAAGTTTACTGTTCAATACTTTATAACCATCAAATTGAAAACATGAAGTACGTATATTTTTGCCCATTTTATACAATTAACATTTAACAAAAATACAGACAAATTATTATTAATTAACGCAATAATGATCACATTAATTAATGGCAACAACTCAAGACAGATAGTAATTTAAATTGTTAAAATATCGCAACGCGCGTTAAAAAACGTTATATTTGGTATTTCCCAATTTATGTGCCGTAATTTGTGAAAACACCTAATGAAAATTTTACTAGACAATAGACGATGTGACGTCTGACTTTCTTGCGCAAAAAAGTAGAATCTTACACAATAAAATTTTTTTTTTACTCTAACATATTTTACATACTATAGGAACAAATACGTTCCTAGGGCCTTTTCTGATCTTAGAATAAATTAACACAATATCGCATAATTTTAGGGGCTTTTTATTTATTGCTAAGTCGTTCTAAATAATAAGTAAATATAGTTAAAGTTAATATTTTAATAATTACAGTTGTAATATAACAAAAAAAAGATGTTTAATGTTGAACTTTTTATTTAGTTATTTATTTTTTACCTACTTTTGTTATAAAAAGACTTTAGTACCCCCATCATTTAAATAATTTGTTTTAAATATATTTCGACGTGATTATTCAAACAAATTTTTATCGTTTGACTTCCCTAAACAAATTGAGACAAAATATCGTCTAACCAAATAAAAATGTTGTTACTAATTTTATACGGGTAAATAATGTAAAACATTTGTTTACCAGAGTCTTATAATTGAGATAATAATTTTATATGGGTAATTAATGTAAAACATTTTTTTATCAGAGTCTTGACTGAGATAATAAATATTCATAATTTATAAACATTAAATATATAGCGCAATAACAATTTATAGCAACAAACCAGCATAAAATATTTAAGGTTTTTAATATCTTTTAAAATATTAAAGTAGAAAAAAAAAAACTAAACAAATAACCAAAAAAAACTTCGACTAAAAATAAATAAAAATATTTCCAGAGTTTCTTTTGTTAAAAGTCTACCGTGACGTCAAATACTAAAACTTTTATGAATTAAACGCGCTTCAAAGGAATTGCCAAAGTCTGTAGATTGCAACGCATAATTTGAAGACTCCAAGTGGTTGAAAAAAATGGAGAAGACGAGCTTCAGCAAAAACAACAACATTTGTTTTTCACGGTATGCATTCATTATTTATTTTTAATCAAAAAAATTTTGTTCAAACCTTTTTTTTTAACATTATCTTTAATATGAACACAATATGTGTTGGGAGTTTGGGATCCCTTTAAAGCATCTGAGTGCTCTTTTATGCAATCTGAAGTGGTATTCTGTGGTTTTATAATCAGCCAAGAAGCTTGCCAACCAACAGCACATAACATGAAAGCAGTCAGGGATGTTCCTTGACTCACCAATGTCAAAGAGTTAAGAGCATTTTTAGGCATGGCTAACTATTACAACGCCTACTTATTACCTAGGATGGCTTCCATTACAGAACCGCTCCATAATTAGTTGAGGAAAAATGTATTTTGGAGATGGAATAAAAATAGTGAGGAAGCTTTTTAAAAAGTTAAAACTTTGTTATGCAATGTACCATTGTTAGCCCACTTTAATACATTAAAAAAAATTGTGGTGCCATGAGTGTTATGAGAAACAGTGTTAGAAGAGTTACATAAGATTTAAACAGGAATGAGTAAAATAAAAGCTTTAGCTAGAAGTTATGTCTGGAAGCCCGGAATTGATTCCAAAATTGAGAACAAAGTAAAATAATGCGAAATCTGTCAAAGAAATCAATGTCCATTAACTGAGTATCATCCATGGGAATATCCAAGTAGACCATGGGAGAGATTACACATTGACTACTGCAGGTTCAATAAATGGAAAAACATTCCTAGTAGTATCTCAAAATGGATCGAAGTGGAAGTTGTGAAAAGCACTGAAGCCCAAAACAACAATTAGAGTACTCAGGTATAGTTTTCAACCCATGTTATTCCGAGAGTTATTGTTAGTGATAATGGATCTGGGTTCTCGAATGAAGAATATAAACAGTTTTTGTCTTCAAACAATATCAAACCAATCTATGCAGCACCATATCATCCGGTCTCAAATGGTCAAGCAGAACGAATGGTTTAAACATTTAAGAACTCTTTAAAAAATTTTTTAAGGGAGTGATGTTGAGATGTTTTTAAATATCACTTAACACCACATTCTACATACTTGAGATGCAATTATGTTCCTTTTTAAACATCATTTAACACCACAATCTACAGCATGAGTTTCTCTGGCTTAACTTTTATTAGGTAGAAGATTAAGAAATCCATTGTCAATGCTACTTCCTGAGGCCATAACCAAAATCAACGAAAAACAATTCCAGGTATTTTTAGTAATAAAAGTCGATTCTTTCAACCTGAAAATCTTGTTTATGTAAGGAATCATGGGAGTGAGAATTGGGTCTCAGCCATTATTTTATCGGCAGTTGGAAATGTTAACTACAAAGTGTTGACATGAGATGGTCGTATCCAGATTAGACATGTAGATCAGAATGTAAAACCCCACATGAAAGGTTGCATAAAACCTTCAATTAAAACAGCAGATAGCATGAAAAGTCCTTTATTAAACAATCAAATACCTGAAATAACTAAAACGTCAGCTCCAAGTGATAACATCAAGCTTTGGCGGGAAGTGAGGACTTTAGCTCTCGCTCTCGCCCACACTCCCATAAAACAGCTTACAGAAGCAATTTACAGCTCTGGCAAAAGTATAATTTTTTCTCTCAAAAGATTAATTATCATTGTAACTAAAATAAAAAAACAGTCATTTTAATATTTATCATTAGCGATTCTTAAAATCCCTGCATTCTATTACAATAGGAAAATATAACTTTTTTTATAAGCAAAAAAATTAATGCTCATCTGAAAAACTTAGAGAAGCAGTTCACATATCTCACCATTTTTGTTTTAGGAGAGCTTTTCACCACTCTTGCACTCATTTTTTCCTGCCGAGGCCTATAACATGTATGATGAATGTGAACTGATTAACAAGGATATTGATTCCAACAGAGTATGCAAACAGATTGAAAGTAAAACGTTGGTCCCGAGAGACCTTGTGAACAACCTAAGTCGTTTTCTGAGTCCATACCAATATAAAAAGCTGAAGTTCAGGTCGAACCAGTTGTAAACCAGCATATTTAGAACAGTATAAATGATTTATGGGTGGAGGATTGTTGTAACTGTGTAGTAAGGTTTCCAGCAAAATATGTATGTGCAATGTGTCTGCAATTATTCCTCTACTTTTTCTTACTTTTCTAGACCTTGTCTAGAAAAGAATGAGTATAATTAGAAGAACCAGCCCAAATAAAATGAATATGCATATTTAATGAATATGCAAATTTAATGAATATGCATATTTATTAAATTCTAAATAGAAAATTGATTTAAATTTCTTTAATTTTATGTCCACAATTGAACCTTAAACTAAAAAAAATAACAGAAATTTTGGGATTATATCCAGTTCACCTACAGTAAATTACCATTATCTGAATATTTGAATTATTATCAACATAAAACATTACTAAAAACATGCAACTAACAAATCATTCAAAGCGAAGATGATAGTAATATAACACATCCAACTAGATAAATTTTATTATATGTATAGTCTTAATTACTTACTACAAACGTTGGCATTTGCCTAAAATTTTAAAAAACAAACGCATAACTTCAGCATTTTTTTTATCCAAATAATCATCCGATTGATAGTTTTTTATTTATTATATAAAAAACATATTTATTATAAAAAAAACAATAAATTACTAAATATTAAAACGCATTTTCAATGAAAAGAAACCATGCTTATACTTTCTTCAATAGCGATACTTTTAAGGTTAATAATTAAGTACGCAACTAAAGAAAGTAATTATGTTTTTGCGGTTTTTACATACGTTTACAAAAGCATGGGAAATTTTAATTAAAATGAATATATTTGCAATTACTTTTAAAAAAAACCATGTTAAAACATTGCTTTCTTCAAAAGCGTGTTTTATTAATTTTCTTATTACGGTTAAATTAAAGTAATGTTAAAAAATAAATGTTATAATAAATAACAATATTTTTTATTTTTTTAAAATTTTTTTTTAAGATATGCAGAAATATATATAAATTTAATAGAATATATAGAACTATTATGTTAATTTTTTTTTTTTATTTTTTACTGTACATTTAACAAAACAGATAAAGATATTTTATTATTAAGTACTTAACATTATAAACATATCATAGTATTTAATAATTACTTAATATAAAAACCTCTTAGATTAGACATTTATCAATAAATAAAGAAACAAACGTCAACATTTATTTAAAAAAATAATTTGTCATTATTTGTATTTATGTTTTATGTGTTAATTGTCTTTTTTAATTTAACAAGACGGTATGCTGGAAATTCAAACTTAACTTGGTTTTCAATACTCAACTTGGTTTCAATACTTAACTCAATACTTAACTTGGTTTCAATACTTAACTCAATACTTGGTTTTGAGATAAGTATTGAAACCAATTTAAAGTTTACAGAAAACTCAGTTTTCTGTAAACTTTAAATTGGTTTATCAATTTTAATTGCACTAACATTTTTAAATTTTCTTTTTTTTTTTATCAAAATAAGGTAAATCTGCATTTAAGTGGCGTTAAATAATTTTATTTTTTTCCCTTTTGCACTCTTGTCAGTGGAGGTTTTTAAACATTACAAATATTAATTGGAACAAAAAATGAAAAAAGATTGTTGCCCCTTGCCAAATCCTCAGTTGATGTAGCAGCCCTTTCTTGTAGCAGCAGGCTATAAGATAGTCTATGTATGTACTGAAGCCAATAAATATTATTTGTTCATAATAAAAAGTCACTAATTTGAACAAGTCTTTTCACGAGATCACAACAAGAAAAAAAACAAAATTATTTTACGCCACTTAACCAAGATTTACCAAAATAAGATGTGAATTTCTCATTTTTATTAATTCATGTTGATATCAGATGACTAATAAACATCTTATAAATTTTTTCTAACCCTGACATTTTTTAAATATATTATATTCTAATTAAAACAAATATTAAACTTATAATTATTTAAAATATTTAAAGTTACAAATACCTTTAAAATGGAAACAACTTGCATGATTAAAGCCTTGATTTAACAGTTTAATGAAACTTGCTATAAAAGATTTAGTTTACATATACATATACTGTGTTTAACTGGTAAACTAATATACAAATTTATTACAACTTTTGCATTTATTATTTTTACAAATATCACTATTTAATACTTATATTTTTAAAAATAAAAAACTTCAAATATATATATTTTTTTTACAATTTTTCTAGGTTTTAAATTTTCATCAATCTCATGCTTTTCTCCTAATATTCCCAAGTTCTCACATAAAATTTTAGTATTATGTAAAAAAATATATATAAACACAATTTTAAAATGATGAAAAATAATGTCTCAATAACAATAACTAATTTTTGACAACTGAAAAGTGTCAACACGCGTTAAAATACATTTCTTAAACAGTCCGAGTAAAGACTTCCATGTGGTCAATTTTATGGCAACAAAGTTTTAAGTATACGGACTGCTTGTAAACAGGTTGCTCGCGATACAACAGTAAACTCCCGGAGTTTTTTGAATTTATTATGTAATAGAGGTAAACACCTCAATACGATATAGAGAATTTGAATCAAAAAATTTTTCAAGGGTACTATATAGTTTCCTGTTTCTCTAGTGCTAAATTTAATTATATTAATTTAAAAAAGTTATTTATAATCCGACTTAGGAGAATTCCTTTTCTTCTTTTTTTAACATAAACAATGTATTTTGATATATAATGATTTGGTAAATGTTTAAAGCATTCATCTGTTTTAGTAATGGCTTTAAGTAAGCTTGTTTTTTATAAAATGTAATACTAAAAGAGATTCTCTGCTTTCTATAGAAAAAATTTAATTTAGTTTTATTGGTACTTGCCCATGTCATATTGGCGTATGATAGAATATTGTCATATTGGCGTATGATTTTCTTTAAAAAAAAAGAGAATCTTAAAAACAGACATATCTGACCATTTCCTTATCTTTTTTACCATTAACTTCAACCCTAAAATAATGACTAAAACAAACATAAAAGTTAAATTACGTAATCAAAAAAACGTTAAGCAATTTAAAACACAATTATCATTGCTCCATTGGAAGAACATCGACTTTAGTGATAATGCAAACAACATTTACGATAATTTCTTTAATACATTTTACTCTGTTTATGATGCTAATTTTCCTTTATATGAAAAAACAATAAATCAAAAAAATAATAATTCTCCCTGGGTTACCAAAGGTTTAAAAAAATCATCAAAAGTTAAGCAGAAATTTTACATAAAATATCTAAAAAACAAATCACTCGCCAATCAGAAAATATACAAAGATTACAAAAATCTTTTTGAAAAAGTTGAAAAAAACTTAAAAAAAAAAAATTACTTTTCTAAAATTCTCAATAAAGCAAAAAATAACTGTAAAAGCTTTTGGGAAATAATAAAAGAAATTACCAGTAAATCTAAATCACGCTCAGATTCCCTGCCACACATGATCAAAGTGGATAATAACAATATAAATAATTCTGAAACAATAGCTCATGATTTCAATGAATTTTTTGTTGAAATTGGCCCTAAACTATCTAAATTAATTCCTAATACAGAAGTCTCATTTAAAGATTTCTCATTACCGATGGATAATTGCATTCACTCGGATGAGTTATCTAAAGAGTTATTATTTGATAAGTTCGAAAAAGTCTTCAAAACACTAAAAAAAATAAAGCAGTTGGACCGGATGACATCAATGGTAACATAATTTTAGATTGCTTTGAACAAATAAAATATATTCTTTTTAAAGTCTTTAAATCATCAATAGAACAAGGAGTCTTTCCTGATCAATTGAAAATTCCTAAAGTCATTCCACTTTTTAAAGGTGGTGACAAATCTGATATAAGTAATTACAGGCCTATCTCTATCTTATCTATATTTTCAAAGATACTAGAAAGAATCATGTTCAATAGAGTATTTAATTATTTTAGTTTAAATAATTTATTATACAAAAATCAGTTTGGCTTTAAAAAGAATAATTCAACTGAGCATGCAATTATTCAGTTGGTGCGTGAAATTTCCAATTCTTTTGAAAAATCTCAATTTACATTAGGAATTTTTATCGATCTTTCAAAAGCATTTGATACTGTCGATCATGATATTTTGCTTTATATTACTTAGTTATTACGGAATAAATGAAAGGGTAATTAAATGGTTTCAAAGTTATTTATCGAACAGAAAACAATTTGTTTCTTGTAATGAACTTAATCATAAACAGTTTTTAAATGTTTCCTGTGGTGTTCCGCAAGGTTCCATCTTAGGCCCTCTTCTATTTTTAATATATATCAACGACTTGCATAAAGCATCAAATCTTCTAAATATTATGTTTGCTGATGACACAAACTTATTTCTCTCTAACAGTGACATCTATCTCCTTTTCTCCATGATGAACAAAGAACTTCAAAACATATCTAAATGGTTTAAAAGTAACAAATTAACATCAAATATAACCAAGACAAAATGGATTTTTTTCCACCCGCTCTCCAAAAAACGTTTTCTACCTCCAAATTTATCAAAAATTGTTATTGACCATATTGAAATTAAAAGAGATTCTGTAATTAAATACCTGGAGGTTTTTATTGACGAAACCATCACTTGGAAACATCATATTAACTATGTTTGCTCGAAAGTTTCAAGTATTGGAAATTTTTTATAAGACGCGTACTCATTTAGATAAAATTAATTTAACTAAACTTTATCACTCTTTTATACACAGTTATATAAGTTATGGAGCTATAGCCTGGGGTGGCACTGATCAAAGCAAGTTACAATGTCTCTATCGCCGTCAGAAACATGTTTAATTAATTCTGTGGATCGGTTCGCACATTCCTCAATATTTTTTAATCAAATGATAATCTTAGATATATATAAACTAAACATATATAAAAATTTATCTTTTGTCTATATGTGGAAGCATGATTTATCACCTTTGATTTTTAAAGATCTTTTTATTTTGAAACCATTAAACAAGTTTAACATGAGGAATAATAATTATTTAGATAAACCATTCTGTCGAACAAAATTCAACCAATTTTGTATCACTTATCGTGCAGCTCATCTCTGGAACAAAATTATTTTGCCTAACTTCGATTTACCTCTAACTTATTCTGTTTTTAAAAATAAATTAAAAGACCACATTCTTTCTATTGAAAATATATTAGAATATTTTTAATTTATTTTGTGATAAAAAACAAAATAACAATAATTTTTATTGTCATGTATGTTCAAGTTATTGTCATGTATGTTCAAATTTTGTTTTATACTTGTTTACAATTTATTTTCAATTATGTAAATACGATTTATTGTTTTTATATGATTTTTTTGTACTTTTATTGTAAAAAGGAGTTTTTATAATATCACGAGGTTAGAATTATTTTGTTCTATCTCCACATATTTTTGTTTCGAGATAAAACGATTTAAAAAATAAAAACTTTAGGAGACGGCATATAAAAAGATTTTTATTACTTATGTTTTCTCCGAGACTTTTTTGATTTTAACTTAGGTTTTAATATAGTAGAAAAACATTATTTTGAGGTACATTACACAATTAATAACTCATTTTTTTCAAAAAGTGGAGATAGAACAAAGTAATTCTAACCTCGCGATATGTTACGTACTCTCTTTTGTAAAAGGCTTCTGACGATAAGATCATTGTGATCTTCTTTTAGAAGCCTTGTTTGTATTTGAAAAAATATGTAATTTATATATTACGTCAAATGTAAACAACAAACAAAAAATATATATAGATAGATAGCTGTTTATAAAGGGAAAATAAAAAAATGTTATAAATTTTTAATAATAGAAAAGGTCTTGCTTTAGAGATAAAACGAATGTTTTTAGAGATTTTCGTATTAATGGCATTTATGTGAGATTTTCAAGATTGAAGTAAAGTGATTTATTTAGATAAATCCTGAAAAATATTTCAGTATAATAACAATTTTGAACAGAAAAATCATCATTATTCAACCAAATGAATAAAAAAGGTATTACCCACCATTCTGCTTGCCTCAAATCTTGAATCAATCTGCTGGATCATCTAAACTAGCATAAAAAATGTTCACTTTAAACTCTTTTGTTTGGCTGTCATGGAAATAGGCTATGTTTTATGCCTCATTATAAAGACGCTTTAGTTTGTGCTTTTTTTTAGTACCGAGTTTAGTTTTGAGTCTTAGCGGTCCAGCTACAGTCTCTTGGAAAATTTGCAACCAAGAGCCTCTTATATGTTTAAGACATTCAAGCAGCTGTTCAATCAAACGTAGCTCGTCACCGATGGTAATTGCTTCAGATTGTAGACGACTAACGTTGTTAATAGCAGTAAGTATTAATACCAAATTTTAATTAGCAATACAAACTCATAAGATGGTAACTATTTTTCTCTTGCTTGGTTGAGCTGCTCACTGGTCAGGTTTTCCATGGCATTTTTAAGAGCTGCCAAAATTTCTCTCGGTCATTTGGTAACTGGTTTGATCGCGTTGATACGAGAGCTCCATCTCTTTACAGAAAGTTTACACAGTGAAATATCTATCGCTTCAATGAGAATCTTCCATCGGTGAGGACTTGATTTATATGCACGCACTATAAGGAACGTACAAAGCTTCCGAATTATTTTGCCTTATCAAGGCTTGGGCTTGCTTGTAAACATCGTATAAGATCCATTATTGTATACCTGACCGCAACAGTTTTAGATATCTAAAATTAGCCTTGCAACCACATCAGAGATTAACATGGCTATATTGAGTCCTTTCTCCTTCTCGAAAGTTTAAACACACAACAATCGTTCTTTTATTTGCCAGCGATTAGTTTCTCTTTCATAGAGGAGAAAACGAATAACAATGGTTATCTCCTCAATGTGAGATATATTAAGGCTATCATAGACTATGATGGTAAAGTAGAGACCATCCTGGATTTTTTTGACAGCTGCAATTCGGATAATACTATCACATTCTCTGATAAACTCGACCGAGAGAGGTAATGGGCACTCATTCTGGAGTCCTTTTATTGATGACATCTTACATCTTTCAAGTAAGATGCAATGACGTTCTTGTGTATTTTTTTATTTT